GTCAACCATCGGTGGCTGACACTAGACTTTCCGTTTAAGTCGCGTCAACCATCGGTGGCTGACACTAGACTTTCCGTTTAAGTCGCGTCAACCATCGATGGCTGACACTAGACTTTCTGTTTAGGTCGCCTCAACCATCGATGGCTGACAGCGTGTAACATGAGAACTAAAAAAAATTTTTGTTTGCACGGAGACAAGAACTGTGATGAACTGATTTGTCGCAAAAAGAATAACAGCCACGAATCCATTTTGAAGAAATTTTATCTGATCGGGCTAAGCGGTAAGAAAAACAAAACAGACTTGGCGCGTAACGTGTTGAAACAAAGGCTATAGGTATAACGTTAAAAATGTAAACTATTTTGTGCTGCGATCGGAAACACCGGCCCTTTAATACCAGTGCGTATAAGCGGCGCTCGTGGCCTGAACGGGATTATCTTAGAAATACGCGTGGTGCTCAACGTGTTAAAAAAAATATTTTTTTTAATTTTGTACTTATACATGTTTTCGTAGTGGCAATTCTGTGAGCAACATGCTTTACACATAAACGCGTTATTTCATATGTAAGAAAGGATAAGTACAAACCGACTACAATAACATGAGACCCATTTGTTTCATACTTTGACAAAAGACACAAAATGACTATCTCCTTTTACTAATATTATAAATGCTAATGTTAACATGGATGTATGGATGTTGGAAGGTATCTCTAAAACGGCTGAATGGATCTTGAAATTTGACATACATATAGAAAACATAGTCTGGAAGAAAGCTAGTTTTTTTGATTCCACGCAAACGGAGCCGCTGGCGTGAGCTAGTATTAATATAAGTTTCACAGAAGTGTGATAATATGTGTCATGTTATTGTGGGCGGGTAGTAATATTTAATTCCTTGTAAATCATCGATGCTTAAGAACACTTGAAATGTTGCTATATCGAAATTTTTCCTTGACATTTAATGTTGCTAGTTTCCGAATAAATTGGATGAATTCTAGAAAGATTCTAGTGAGTTTTTTTTTTTTTAAATTCGTTTAAATTTAATGTTGCCATGTATCCAATGTTTTATAGGTTAGATGAATAAAAATCGATAGATTTCTACCAAACTATAAATATATTTTTTTGTATAATAATTTAAATATCAACACTGATTTTAATTTTCTGCGTTTTTTTTTTAGTTGAATGTAATGATTTTTTTTTTTTAATTATTCGTGTTGATATCTCAAGTGGCTTATAAATCATATTGTTGACATTATGTTGTTTCATCCAGTGAAATATATATATATTTTTTTCAATTCCTATTTTGTTTTATTTATAACCCAAAACTAACGTGCTATGTTCTGAATCCTTTAAATTATTCAAACTATCGTGAGATATTATACTAAAGTGATATATAAACGGCTAAACACTCACGTATATACGTCCGGTGGCACCGACTAGTTTCGAGTGAGTACCACTCAAAGTCGGTGCCGCCGGACGAATATACGTCAGTGTTTAGCCGTTTTTATATATAAATACCTTACTAATATTATAAATCCGAATGTTTAGATGTTTGAATGTATCTCTTAAGGCTGTAAAGATCTTGATGAAATTTGTCATAGATGTGGAACATAGTCTGGAAGAACACATATACTAATTAACCTACAAAGATTACTCTTTGAATCTCAAAAGTGGAGGGACTACAGAGGCCTCTTGTTGGGATAAATTACCTTAGTGTTGTCATTTGAAAGACAAAATGATATTTAGTTAATCTTCTTTTAACAGTGGTAGAGCCCGCTTTAACATCTTCGCAAGAATTGGCCTCGCTCAGTGAAATACCACGACCACACAGACGACAGGTGTCAAGTGGAAGCAATTCCGCGTACAGTCTGATGAGTGTGTGTACCGGAGGCCTAATTTAGTCCTCTTTCCCTTCCCACCCTTTTTCTTAAGGAAAGGATGGGAAGTGGAAATAGACTTTCCGGGTGAGAGGATGCATGGAAAGGGAAAATATTTTCTTTCTGTGCATCTCCTCCGTCGATTAAAGGTAGGCAACGCATATGCAATTACGTATGTCTATGGGCAACGGTCACGTCGCTATTTCAGCGATTTCAGGTGGTCGCTCGCTCGTTTGCCGTCTTACGATATAAAAAAATGGCTGCCATTACAAAAAAATTTAGCGAGTTTTCAAACGAATAGTCAGATTATAAAAACACCAAGCTTATAACTGATTGGTGACTTAACATGCTTTTGTAATTCAATTATTTCCAATTCACGCGTAACATAGTTTTGTTGTTAGCAATGATTTTAATTATTTATATTACATACTAACTTTAACACGCGTTTTTTCTTCCTAATAAATATTAATTTATTTATATTTATTGTGAAGGAAAGAATCCGTATTATATCTAGTAAGAAATTATCTTGTATGTATGTTTGTTCGCCTTTAAAGATCGTAAAGGAGCAATGACATTCACAATAAGAAACAGACAAACAAATCCATTTTACGCATAGCATTATAATAAAAAATTGTGTTGTTGATAATCAAATAATTATTTAGTACTAGTCAGTGTTTCGTTAAATAACGAATTAATTCTTTTGCAATGAGGTTTAGAAGTTATATGTTTGTTTTTATTACATTTGGTACGTTATTTATATATTTAAATTATAATATGAGAAAATCATAGTATTTGCACTTTTGCTATTATATTTTATAAGGAACTGATAATTTTTAATTAATTAGGTTATTTTTGATAATTTTTCAGCAAATTTTATTGTGTTACAATCTAAATCAATTTCATTGAATATGTTAATAAATAAATCAATAGCTAATAGAAATGATAATAAGAAAATAACTATGAAAGAAAAGTTAAATAAAAATACATATTACAATAGACAAGCCAATAGTGATTGTGTTGAACTCAGTGGCAGTACTTTGTGTATAATATTTAAGGATAAAGGAAAACTTACCGGATTAAAAAAACAAACAAATAAACATAACAAAAATGATGTAGTAGATATAACACGATTAAAAGATGATTTGAGGTTATTAACACGTATAACCCGAACGAATTCGAAAGTCGATAAATTTTCAGAAGATTATTTAGACGTTGGAGATTTAAGCGCAACAAGAAAAGAATCGGACATTTTTAATAATCCTGATAATATATATTCTAAATTAAAATTAATCATCGCCGGTTACCAATCGAATAATGGTCCAGCTCAAAAATTCAGAAGTCGTAAAGTCAATGTTGCAGATTTAATTAACTTCATAGATTTTAGATCGCACAATACAGATTCTTCAGAAGAATCAATAGAGAGATATAAAAAGAAACGGAAAAATAAACCTAAAAGATTCGAAGTTGTTGAAAATACTGACGAATCCATCGAATCTCGGAACTCTGATTCTGAGGAATCGTCTAATGAAATGTCAATTCCTTTAAAAAATAGAAATATTATACCTAAAATATTCTACGTCCAAGGTCCTACAAGACACATACCGTCAGACGAAAGACGTAGCAGACTTCCTCATTTCATGCCTAAAAGATACCATTGGAGTTTAGACGATATAGATGATTTGCCATATTTCTGGTTCAATGGACCACAAGGATATTTCGCAGGTGTATACAAAGTTTTCATATAATATTAAAAAAAAACAATAACATGGTGCATGACTCAATTGCGTTTTATTAATCAATTAGCTGTCGCCAGCGATTCCTTCCGCGTGGATATATATAAAACTTAATTAGTGTATGTGTTCTTTCAGATGTTCTATACGTATGTCAAATTTAATCGAGATCCGTTCTAGAGATATCTTCAAACACCCATCCACATCACATCCATCTAAACATTCGCATTTATAATGTTAGTAAGTTAAATAAAAAGCAACTCTTCAAGGCATAAAGGCTTTCTTAAGAAAGTGGTGTTAGTTACACTATTTATAACTCAAGAACGACTTTACCGATATGGCTGAAAATTGGTGAGGAGTTAGCTTAGCCAGGAGACGGACATAGGATACTATTTATTAAAAAAAAATTCGAATTTATGCCTTGAAGAACTGCTTTTTATTTAACTTACTAATATTATAAATGCGAATGTTTAAATGGATGTGATGTAGATGGATGGATGGGTGTTTGAAGATATTTATAGAACGGCTGAACGGATCTCGATTAAATTTGACATACATATAGAACATAGTCTGAAAGAACACATAGGCTACACTTATTAAGTTTTTTTTATATATCCACGCGGAAGGAATCGCCGGCGACAGCTAGTTTATATATATAGATTGTTACTAAATCAATTAAATTGTGTCAAAGACGTTAACTAAAAACACATTTTTTATAATTGGACAAAAGCGGGAAGATCGAATTATTTATTCTATAGAGAGCCAAAAGCACAAGATTTGCAGATTAGTTACCGGCCTTTTGAGTTTCCTTAATCGTACTGGTTTGGTAATATCGCCGAATAACCTTAATCTAAATTAAATTGAAACATTCAAAGGACAGATTATATATTTTTGTACACAATTAACATAAGTATTGTAACTAAAGATTGCAATATAACTAAAGGACATTGTAAAACAAGATATTTACAGATAAGATAAATCCAGATAAATATTTGATAATTTATATCTCAATTATTTAATATTTTAATCTATAGATTGTATATTATAAAGTACATATTTTAGCAAGTAAATACATAATAAAATAATTATTTGTCAGTTCTTAACTCCATTTCACAATAAATTAAATTACCGCTAACCATAGACAAAGAACGGAGAAAGGTCGACCTGTCAAATCCAATTTCCCTTCCTATCCTTTTAATTATCAGTAAAACTTGCTGCTGCCCAATTTACATCTTTGATGTAAGTTAATATAATTTAAATATTTTATTTAAAAAGCATAAGTCATTGTAATTTTTTTAGGTTATTTTTATTTAAGACACCACCACGGTATAGATAATGTTAAAAACTTTAGCAATCATACGAAAATCCATTGATAATAATATTTATCGGAGTAATCCAATGTTATTTACACAGTTATTGCAAAATGACGTTTAAAATGATTGTGTTGGTGTGTTTTATTTTCATTTGGTATGTAATTTTTTTATATTGTTAAAAATTTAAACATTTTTGAGTTGGTCTTTTGACTCGTTTATTTTATCTGTATTACATTAAAGTTTTTAATGTCTTTATGGTTTTACAAAGTTATTTTAACTTTATTAATTAACAAAGTATAGTTTTAAAGGGATCTTTTTACATCGTGAAATAAAAAATCGTTTATAAAAACGAAAAGACATCTAAATAATTTTGTTTATAAGGTAAATATATTCAAAGAATCCTTCAAATATCTATCTGGATAAGAAGTAGAAATTAGATTCAAATGAAAATTATAAATACGTCTTATTTTAACTAATCCAGTAACAATAGAGTGGGCAAAACAAAAATTGCTTTTGCTTTTAACCGACTTTAAAAAGAAGGTTATTAATTCGTCTGTTTTTTTCATTGAATACAATTTCTTTCTAGTATATCATCTCAGCTAAGTTCAGCGTATGTGGTAAGCAGTCAATATGATTGGGGAGAACCTGATACTCCGATATTCCGTAAGTACACTTGACTTGGAATCTGTAGATCCTGGGTTCAAATCTCCAATGTAGCAATGTTTTTTTACATATGTACATTTATCTTATGTTACGGTGAAAGAAAACATCGTGATGCTGCACATATCTGAGAAAGTCAAATGTGTGAAGTCTTGCACTGGACCAGCATTCACTATCTCATAGTCTCACTTAGGGTAGACCTCCCCTCAGTGGAGTATAGTAACCTGATGATTATGTTAGCCGCTAATAGAGCTAAAACGTCCTACTCAGTGTCCCTTTGCTATATTCCTAAATCGTAATCTTGGACGTAAAATTAGTCGTCGTTTGTTAATAAATTTGTATATTATAACAGCGATTGAGTCTAGAAGTAGGATGAGTAGAGAGACAGCTGAACAGCGGCTGATGGCTGTCAAACAAGTACTGCAAGAGTACGGCGTTGATGCGTACATCGTACCCACCGCTGATGCACACAATGTAAGTTAATGCTATTTAATTAATACTAACTGTCGCCCGCGACTCGGTCCGCGTGGATATATAATAAAACTTAATTAGTATAGCCCACCCTTCCATCCATCCACATCACATTTAAACGTTTGCATTTATAATATTAGTAAGTTAAATAAAAAGCAGCTCTTCAAGGCATAAATTCGAAAAAAAATGAATAAATAGTATCCTATGTCCGTCTCCTGGCTCTAAGCTACCTTCTCACCAATTTTCAGGCATATCGGTAAAGTCGTTCTTGAGTTATAAATAGTGTAACTAACACCACTTTCTTTTATATATATAGAAGAAGTAACGTTTCGTTTGTTATAGTGTGTCTATTTAAGATAGATTAGTTTGACAATTCTCTAGATATGGATTGTTTAAAATCGATTAAGAATTTTTATAGATTTTCGATGTTTGTTCTCATAGAACTTGCAATCGAAAATTTTCATGATTATTGTTTTTGAATAACAATATAAATAAAATTGTCTCTTTCTATTTCTACTTTATCCTTCATAACTACATAAAGAAATAAGACGTTAAACCAACAGAATATATTTAATTTTAATTAATTGTGTTATATACATAGCCAAATAACTGTAATAAATTCAATAAGTAATAAAATACCTAAATTATAGTACGCATTTCTTTGATTAATATTATTACAAGAGCGATTCTCGATACTTCACAGTTGTCCGCACACGTACGGTCCAACACTATGACAACTGTCCATTAAGTACAACATTAATCCTCATACAAAATTAATATCGGTATGTAAAATCCTTGTTCCCAGTCGCAGTATATAGCAGCGTCTGACGCTCGCCGGGAATGGCTCTCCGGTCTCTCTGGGTCTTCAGGGACAGCTGTGGTGACGTCATCACATGCCCTGGTCTGGACCGATGGAAGATACTTCACACAATTCTATTTACAAGTCGATACAAATGTATGGAGTTTGATGAGACAAGGTAAGGGATGGTGTTATTGTAGCTTTGTCGAAGTCCGTCTCTGTCTACCCCTTTAGTTGATGTTGTCGTCCACGACTTGGTCGTCGCAGAATTAAAAAAAATATCCTATAACATTCTCGCGTACATCCAGTCAGAGTCCCATCAAAATCTGTGCACACGTTCCCGTGATTATAAGCAACAAACACAAACTTACAGACAGACAGACAAATAAAGCAAATACGATTTTTATCCATGATATTACATACATACAGACAGTCTAATTTTATTAATATTTATTGACTAGCTATCGCCTCCGCCTTCATCCGCGCGTATTAAAAAAACTTAACTAATAGGCTGTCTGTTCTTTCACACTAAGTTCTACATCTATGTCAAATTTCATCAAGATTCATGCAGCCGTTCTGGAGATACCTTCTAACAAACATACATCCATGTTTATAGGTACGGATTTGGCAATACCTGCGTGGTTAGTAGCAAATATGAGACCAGGACAAGTGGTGGGTATTGACCCTACAACATACACAAGGACTTCGTGGAGAACTTTAGAGGTAATATTTTAAACGCCGTATAAAGAAGTATAAAGTTATTTGGTATCTTAAATCAAATAAGCACAAAATATTTTATAATATAGCCAGTCCATTTGTAAAGGTCAGTGCCCTAAAATTTTACTGGGTTACACCGTTTATAATTTCTTGACTTTATCTTACATTTAACACTAGCTATGTCCGCGACTTAGTCCGCATGAATTTCTGTCTTTGGGAAGCAAACCTAAATAATCTTCTATTTGTAAAAATGACGATACTTCCATACAAACCAACCCCCATTTCAACCCCTTACAAGCCGTTTTTCGTATTAAAAAGTAGCCTATATCTTTCCCCAGATACTAAACTATATGTGTACCTAATTTCATTTAAATCGGTTAGGAAGTTTTTGTGTGAAATAAACACAAACATACAGAATTACTTTCACATTTATAATATTACCAAAATTCCTTTATCAAATATATCTGTGTTTTGTCAAAGGTGAGAGGGATGACGAAATGTTTTATACAGAGATCTCAGAAATCAACGGTTAAAGTTAGGTTATTAAAATTGATATCAACGGCAAGCATTATTTGCAGACAGCTCTCAGCCAAGTGAACGTAATTTTGAGACCAATCTCACAGAACTTGGTGGATATAGCGCGAGCTAATATTGGTGACCCCGCGCCTCCTAGACCAAATAACGCGTTGTTACCTCTACCTATAAACTTTACTGGTAAAAATGTTACACATAGTTTTAAATAAGTTAGTTAATTTTAGTATTTAATTTTAAAAATATTAGTCTACGTGTTCTTCCAGACTATGTTCTATATGTATGACAAATTTCATCAAGATCCATACAGCCATTCTCGAGATACCTTCTAACATCCATCCATTTAAACTTTCGCATTTATGCACAATACTTGTTGTCGCCTGCCACTCCGTCTGCGCGGATTAAAAAAAAAAGTTAACTAATAGCTTATGTATTCTTCCATACTATGTTCTACATCTACATATGTCATATTTTAAGCAGATCCATCCAACCGATCTGAATTTATCACTAACTAACTAATTAGAATGTATCACTAACAAACATCCATCTAAACATTCGCATTTATAATATTAGTAAGATTGCAAGAAAGAAGAGAAATTTCTTACTTTCGAGTGCATTTTATAGCGATTTTTTTTCAGGCAAGCGATCATCAGAGAAAATCTCGGAACTAATGACACAGATCAGGTCACGAGGAGCTGCAGCGTTAGTACTTACTGCGTTAGATGATATTGCTTGTAAGTTCACATTAAAAACTACCTTCAAGAGCACATATTTTTATAAAATAGCTGTCGCCCGCGACTCCGTCAGCGTGTTTGTCTAAAAAAATAAAAATTTAGTGGTGGACTACCCTTAACATTTAGGGGGATGAAAAATAGATGTTAGCCGATTCTCAGAGCTACACAATATGCTCACAAAATTTCATGAGAATCGGTCAAGCCGTTTTAGAGGAGTATGGGAACAAAAATTGTGACACGAGAATTTTATATATAAGATAGGAAATAGCATGTGTAGTGTTTGTCTCGAACGTACACGTAAGTACACGGCAGAGAGATTGGGCATCAGTCGATGTTAGACCTTTGGACCGGTAGCACGTGACTGTACATTAACGGGCCACATGTAACGCAACGAATGCTACAGCATGGAAATGACATCTTTTGCTTCGTTCCTTAAACGAGCTTGAGGAGTTAGACAAAGAATTCGCTCCGAAGCTATTCCATAACGAACTTCAATAATGTATAGAACTGACAATTACTTTGGATAAGTCACGTGATTGTCGCGCCTCAGTTACATACATTTTTGTTAGTTTAATGGTGAAAATCAAATAGGCACAAAATATTATGTGTTATAGCCTGTCCATTTATAAAGGTTAGCGTTCAAGAGACAGACAGGGCCGGCGTTAGGTTAGGGCGTGGTTGAGTCCAGGGCGCTGGACAGAAAGGGGCGTCACACGTCTGCGTTATAAAGACTCATATAATCTTCTAAAGGAGGCTGGGGTGGGGGGTGGTTTCTAAGGATTAAAAAAGGAGTTATAAAAATCTCGTCCAAGGCATTAGTACAGCTAAAAATGATAAAGCCCATAGATTCCTAGACCCTATAATGTATCCGTTAGGGTCAGAAACTAATTTCTTCTTATATAATTTAGTTCAGATTTTTTTATTTAGATTTTTTATTTTTTTCAGACACCCTTAATATCCGTGGCTCAGATATACCTTATAACCCTGTATTCTTCTCCTATTTGGTGCTAAGACCTGATCAAGTAAGTTATATTAAGAATTGTTTAGTTAATTCAAACAAAAATTAAATTAAAAAAAATAGTTTATCTTTTCAACAATAGATGGCATTACTAAGAACTTTTGACCGATAGATGGCGTTGTTCTCTATTATATCACAAGGTGGCAAACGAGCGAGCGGCCACCTGAAATCGCTGAAATAGCGAAGTGACCGTTGCCCATAGACATACGCAATTTCATATGCGTTGTCTACCTTTAATCAACGGAGGAGAGGATGCACAAAAAGAAAATATTTTCCCTTCCCATCCATCTCAACCGGAAAATTCACTTCCACTTGTCATCCTTTACTTATAAGAAAAAGGTTGGGAAGGGAAAGAGGAGTAAAATTAGAACTGAGGTACTAAACTCATCAGAGTGTAGTTGGAATAGCTTCTCACTTGAGTCGTGTCTTCTGTGTGCTCGTATTGCAGGCGAGGACAATTCCTGCGATGTTAAAGCTCGCTCTATTAAATTATAATAATAATAATTATAATAATAAGCCTTTATTCAGATATTTTTCATTACATTACATTATATTATTTAAAGTTTATGTCAAGTTAGTTAGGTTTATATCCGTTTGTCCCCTGTGGACAAAGGCCTCTTCCAAACTCCTCCATTCCTCTCTTGCTTTTGCCCTCCTACACCAGGTCTGTCCGCCACTTCCCTTATCTCGTCTTTCCATCTTTTGAGTTGTCTTCCTCGTTTTCTTTTACCGCTTTTTGGATACCAGTAGTTAATGAGTTTGCTCCATTTGTCTGTTCCACGTAAAGTGTGTCCCGTCCATCTCCATTTAAGTCGTTTTATTGTTGTGATGATATTAGTTAGTTTAGTTGTTTCTGCAATAACTTTGCTTTTTATTTTGTCCGATTTCTTTATATTTAACATGCTCCTTTCCATTGATCTTTGACAGACTTGTAATTTACGATAATGTTCCTTTGTGGGGGCCCAAGTTTGGCAGCCGTATGTTAATACAGGGAGTACACAGGTGTTGTATAGCTTTCGTTTAATTTGTACACTCATATCTTTACTCTTCATGATTTCTTTAAGCATCCAGTATCTCTTCCAGGCTTTACCTATTCTTACTTCCTCTTCGTTCTATTAAATTAGTTTAGGTTAATTACTATTTTTCAGAGTCCACCAAATAATGTGGTATTGTCTTGGGGAGATGGAACTCTGGCTGCTAACATAACACAACATTTAGCTTCTGAAGGAACCCAAATAGCGACAATTCCTTATCAAAATATATTTGATTTTTTGAAAAATATGACGGTAAATATAACGAAATCAAATATATAATCTTACTAATATTATAAACTAGTCGCCTACAACTCCGTCCGCGTTGAATTAAAAAAAAAATTAATATGTTGTCTATGTGTTCTTCCAGATTATGTTCTACATATATGACAAATTTCACTGTCATCCATCCAAACATTCCAATTTATAATATTAGTAAGATGTTTGGATGGATGTATGTTAGAAGATATCTCCAGAACAGCTGCATAGATCTTGATGAAATTTGTCATACATATAGAACATAGTCTGGAAGAACACATAGGTTACTTATTAAGTTTTTTTTAATTCAACGCGGACGGAGTCGCGGGCGACATCTATTATAAATTATAATAACTAACTTTCTCTCAAAACACACTTTTTTTTACTTTTTATGATTTAAAATTTTCAGAGTGAACTTCCTAGAGGTAGCACCATTTGGTTATCACAAGATGGAAGCCATGCGATACATTTAGCTGCAGAAGCGGTGAGAAATTAAAATATACATACAAATTTATAACCTCAAAAAGTTATTTTGTACAAAAATCAATGTATATTTATCTTACTAATATTATAAATGCGAATGTTTAGATGGATGGATGTTAAAAGATATTTCTAGAACATCTGCGTGGATCTTGATGAAATTTGTCATACATATAAAACATAGTCTGAAAGAACACATAGACTACTTATTATGTTTTTATTCCTCGTGGAGTGAGTCGTGGGCGATAGCTTGTTAGTTTTAAATTCCTAAATTAAGAAAGTTTTTGTTATTGCTACTTGACACAGGATGGCGCTATGAATACATTATCAACCGTATCTCCTGTTGCTCTTATGAAATGTATCAAAAATGAAGTCGAATTAAAGGTAAATTATAAATTTCCATTCACGAACATCTTACTAATATTATAAATGCGAATGTTTGGATGTTTGTTACAAATAAAAGGTATCTCCAAAACCGCTGTATGGATCTTGATGACATTTGTCATAGATATAGAACATAGTCTGGACACATAGACTATTTTTTTTTATTTCACACGAACAGATGTTGGTGACAGCTAGTTGTCTATGGTTTTTATTAAAGTTTTTTAAACTAATATTGTTGAGCTCGATGGCGTTGTATGTTTTGCACTAAACGTTGAATCGTCAACTCAAATCGTATATTCAGTTATATTTGCTCCGCCATCTTGAAAATATTTTACAATTTTTGAGAAAGTAGGTAGCAACTGGCTTTTGGCCTTGACAGATGGAAATATTTTCGACACGCGTATAAGAACCTTCATGACATTATTTATAAGCATCTTAGCGACAAAAATCGTTTAAAAAGATATATTAATGTGGGATAGGCGAGAGATCTACAAGAATCTATATATATAAAAATCAATTACTGTTCGTCAGTCTCGCTAAAACTCAAGAACGGCTGAACAGATTTATCTTATCTTGGTCCTGAAATGTTCGTAGAGGTCTAGGGAAGGTTCATTATTTCACAATTGCCAGGAATTAATTAGGTTTCTTTTCACTCCACGCGGACGAAGTCGTGGGCGACAGCTAGTTATAGATAGATATATTTCCTCTCTGAGTTACAAGCTTTAGTGTTACTATTATTTAATATTTGTCAGGGATTCCGTTCAGCTCATATCAAGGATGGCATAGCTGTAGTTAGATTTCTCCGCTGGGTGCATGAGAGTGTGTCATCGGGTGTCAATGTCACCGAAATAGATGTCTCTGATAAACTGGAAGAGTTAAGACAGTATGTATTCTGACATAATTTATACTAATATTATAAATGCGAATGTTTTGATGGATGTATGTTTGTTAGGAAGTATCTCCAGAAAAACGGCATGTATCTTGGTGAAATTTGTCATAGAACATAGTCTGGAAGATCGGAGACGCGGGCGACGGCTAGTCTGCACTGATATACAAAGAGGATAGATTTGTTTGTGTGTGTTGAATATTCTCTAAAACTACTAAACCGATTTGAAAAATTCTTTCACTTTTGGAAACCTACACTATCCTCGAGAAACATAGACTATTATTAATTTTTTTTTTCCGCGCTTATAAAGGCAACACATCTACAAAAGCAGATGTCTATGGGCAGCGGTCGCTATTTCAGCTAATTAAAGTAGACGCTCGCTCGTTTGCCAATTTGTTATTTTAAAAAAGTTGTTATTTTTTCTGTATTATTTCGATGTTCATTCGACGTAAAAACTTACTCGTCAAATTTTTATTGAACCAAAAATTAACTATGATTTTATTCTTTTTTAAAATCTAATTCTTTTAAATAGTGAAAAACAGTTATATTTCCTAAAAACTTTTAGCGAAGAACAATATTTCATGGGCCCATCTTTCGCGACGATAGCGGGCGCGGGAGAAAATGGCGCCATTATTCATTACAAGCCGTCACGAGAGGGCGAGCAGAGAGTTGTCAAACGTGATGACATGCTACTCGTTGATTCCGGAGCACAGTATATGTAAGACTAAATACCATAGACAAAATACAATTTACACTAAAACTCAAAAAAAAATCTAACATAACTATAAACGTTACCTAATCTTATTTTGTAAGCAAATGTATGGATGGATGGATGTTTGTTAGAAGATATCTCTAGATACACAACGTAGTCTGGAAGAACACGTAGGCTATGATATTGAAGTGAGTACAATTCCCATAGGATAAGTTTTATTTAAATATTTACTCAATAACTCGGCAATAGTTTAACATATCTTATTGAAATTTGCCACACATATAGAACATTGACTCGAGTGACATATGACATACTTTTCATTGTTTTTTTTTAATTCTGTGCCTACGAAGTCGCGGGCAAAAGTGTACTATATCGATAATGGATAAGCCACATTAGTTCTTTCATCAAGTTTAGTGTAATAAAGCAGGGAATTAATATATTTTAACTATGCCAGGGACGGTACTACGGATATCACACGGACAAGACACATGAGTTCATCTCCCACACCTGAACAGAGGTTGACATTCACACGAGTACTCAAAGGTCAAATACTTTTAGGTACTGCTGTGTTCCCGAAAGGATCTACGGTAAATTTAGTATAGTTTATACATTTTTCCAAATATAATAGTTTTGTACACACTTTTTACGTCACTTTTTTAAATTTATTGAAAAGGTGTAGGTTTAGAGAAATGGTGTAATATTAATATAATAGTTAAAGTTAACGGTTGTTTAAATAACTTTTACGTTGTTAATTCAGAATGCCAAATTAAATAAAAATAGAATTACGAAAAAATTTCAAATAAATCCTTTTAAACTGTCATTTTTTAACAGAATACTTACAATATTTAATATCATATTTCATAAGATCAAAACAATTTTTTTTCTACATAGGGTAATTTACTAGAGACGTTAGCTCGCAAGGCCTTATGGGACGTAGGATTGAACTACGCACATGGAACTGGTCACGGTGTGGGTCACTTCCTCAACGTACATGAGGGTCCTTCAGGAATAGGAGCTGCCCTCATGGCTTCAGACCCTGGGATTGTACCAGGGATGATATTCAGTGATGGTACATATCTTTTTAAGAAAATCTATTCAACACAAATGCTGAATAAAGTAAAATTAACACGCCATAGAGGGCGTTAGTGGATTCTTCATTTTATTTTATGCATTAATGAAATTAGTTTCCCCCAAAAATATAAAACATATCTGTAAAACCACCTAGTATAGTAAATTATCTTATTTTTTTTTATTATTAGCAATCTGGTGGATGAATTTTTTGACAATACTGGCAGAATGACAGCAACGCTATGATAAAAAAAACACAAGACCAAAGATTTTTGGCGCGCTTTCTAAAAATTGACATTAATGGGGCGCTTTCAAACAATTTTGCTTTAAAAGTTTTCATAAATATTAATTGTAAATTATATTTTCAGTATTATCGTATAGAAACAAGATTTATGTTTTATTTTCGTAGGTTTTCAAGTTGTTCATTTATATGTTCTATTTGCAGAACCTGGGTATTACGAAGTAGGAGAATATGGTATCAGACATGAGGATCTGGTGGAAGTTATAGAAATAAATAAAGACGCTGATCATATATTTGTAAGTATTTTGACTAACAATATCTCAATATTACTTTTATATCTTGTTCCAATCCAAATATGAAATAATTTTACTATATTTGACGCATCAACTCGTAAATAACAAAATATTATCTCATCATATTATACAATACCGCTTTATTTTGTCTTATTCACAAAATAAATATACAAGTGAAATATTGTAATACCGGCATATATCTAAGATGGAATCTGTTTAACTTAATATCATCATTGGATTTAAATGAAGTATACACTTACCTTGTTATAACGCAATTAACCACTGATCTCTATAAATAGATAGATTGCTTGGAAATTACATTTGCTTCGTTCCAATTAAAATGCGCCTATTGATGTTATGGGACAGTTAATTCTACCTACATTATTAGTTCGAACCCACACCAACACTATAAATATTTACCATCAGTGCCAAAATGTCGTAAATCAAATAGACACAAAATACTACATCTTACAGCCAGTCTATTAGTTTTTTTTTTTATTTATAGGCAAAGGGTATGGTGGGTAACTTCAGTGGTGCAGGCGCTGTTGGTTTTTACACTATATCTCTTGCTCCACATCAAACAGCATGTTTGGACGTTAGCATACTGGATGACAATGAGGTAAAATCTATATAAAAAACAGTGTTTGTCTGTATGTCTTGGTCTTACACAGATTTTGATAAAAACTAAGGTCTAAGAATGTTAAAGAAAAAAAAGATAAAGTCAGGTTAACTTCTTCAATAGCTTATAAAGAAATGATCATGAGGAAGTTGTAAATTTTAATACATTTCCTATTATTACATACTACATTTGCCAGCACAGGTAAGAACACTCCAAAAAAATAAATAGTCTTTGGTTTTATAAAATCTTCCATATCTTTGTAAATAATGATTAAATTATAAGAATTTATTTCAGATCAAATACATAAATGATTACCACGCTAGAGTTCTCAGGACTTTAGGACCGATTCTATTAGATCGTGGGCTGACAGAGGATTACGAATTCCTTGAAAAGGAATGCGCGCCAATCCAACGAAGCGCCGCCATCTTAATTTCTGCTACACCTTTGGCAGTAATCGGAGTATTAAGTCTATGGTTAAATATGTAAAAAGTAAAAAAAATAATTTATTATATTTTCAATTATAAATTAATATTTACTTAAGAATCATTATTATATAAAATTGTATTTTAATAAAAAAAATTAGGATATAATCTTACCTATTTACCTTAATAGAAGGGAAATGTTTTTATGTATATGCAAGTGTCCTTTTTTCCTTTGTATATCCAATGCCCTACTTCCCAAGATGATTTGATACTACCAGAAAGTATCATTTTCTATCCTTTCGCAAACTCCGTTTCCCTACAAAATCAGTCTGTGTCGACAGTAAATACTCTCGGCCATTCTACCTGAATTCACTTCCTTAGAAAAAAACCTCTCACACAATTCATCCTTCCTCTAACTGTAAAGAGTTTGAAATGAAACAAGACAAATACTTTAAATATTTACTTAGAACATAAATCAGTACTCTACAGTTGTCTATGACATCAATGTATAATTTATTCGCTGCCACGATAATGCTTCAAGTTGACAAGTACCCAGGCAGGGATGGCACACCAGCTGACTAACATCACACCGGACAGGAAGATCATTTCCTGAAATAAAAAGATATATTACAACCATAGACATATGGATCAACTGCAGTTGCACAAATGGGCCAAATTTAACTAGGGAAATACACAGAAAGGGGAAAAAATCTTTTACTATGTGAATCCAATCCTCCAGGAATTAAAGGCTGGAAACATATCTGCATATGATGGGATAATGGTTAGCTTAATAAAATAAAAAATTCAGATGTCTATGGGCAGTGGTCACTTTACTATTACAGTAAATTCATGTGGCCTCTCGCTCATTTGCCATCTTACAATATAAATAATAAGATGTTGTCATAGTCTATTCTGCATGTGAGCTAGCATGTTGGGTAACTTATTGGTGGTCTCCTTCACGTCTACGGAAGACTTAGCAGAAGTGTGCAATCACAGAAAATTAAATAGAGGGTTAAAAAGTTGGAATTTAGCAGCATGGAGTTACCCAAAACAAGTAACATTATGAAAGGGGTCTATAAGAAAATGGTTTAAGAATTATCATCATACCAATCTTTGCAATGGACAATATTTAATCATATCGCATATTTTTGAACCACTAAAATGAAATAGGGAAAGAACAAAACGTATCTTAAGACGCAAAGTTTTATGTTTTTTTACTATAGGTATTATGTATGTAAAAGTATATTACAACATTCAGAATGGTGAATATAAATAATATACTGGTATCAAAGATAGTAATAAAAGATAACACTTTTTAGAAGTGTTTAAAAAAGTACATCAAACCTAACCTATTTGTTGAAAATTACGTAATTAGAAAAATACATTTAAAAGTCACGAAATTAAACATGAATTACATAAATAATCTCAAAATAGTAGTATAAAAGTTGAGATTAACTATTTGGGCTTTCCGTTGCAGTTTATTGATCAAAATACAGTAAAACAATAATCAATACTTACGCCTTTGGTAACTTTCTTTCTTGCTGGAATAGATATTACGCTCATGTTCCTCTGTTGAGCAACATTCTTGAAAATCTGGGCGTTATTTTTTACAAGGCTACGGATGGCGAACATTTTGTATTTTTTGAGAATTGATCCAAATCACAGAATGCAAAGTCCTCAAATCGCAGATTTTTCGATTGACGTTTTCAGGGATACCATACACAGATAACAATTTTTCAAAGTAATGTTACCACTTTTTGTAATAGTTTTCTACCAAATTCTAACAGCCGTTTAATTTCTATTATTTTCACTTAGTTAAAAATATGATTTATTTAAGATTAACTTAGGCGTAGTGGTCAGAGGTTTTCAAGAATATTTTTTTTATGTGTTGTTGCAGAAAACAGAGATCCAAATCCACACTGCGCGCATCCTCTGTGACTCTTATCTTCCGATGCCGATGTTATGGGTGGTGTTGGAACATTAAATAATGCTTTTATTTCCATACGACGGTGCTAAATTTTTTATTTGTTTTTATTCATAGTTACTACTTTATGGTTGGCTTCATTAGCCAGTCGACTACGGCTGATTCTAGATTAATTTCGATCTGGTTTTTTATTTTTATTGTTTATTTACGCTTTTTACATCTAAAATTCACTTAACACAACGGTCTACATTTTTAAAATGTGGTCAAAAATTTCAATAATCCCCATCCCAACGTTTTCTTTTAAGAAGGGAAAGCCTACTAAAATTTAACCTCCAGCACGCACATTCATCAGACAAAACATAGAAATACTTCTGTGTGGTGGTGGTATTGCACTAGGCGAGCTGACACGCGTGCAACAAATGCTGTTGCTAGCGTCCATCACTCTTAAACTACTAATTTAGGTAGACAAAATAGGAACAAAGTTCTAAAATAGACTATCTTACATAAAAATAACATCGTCGTTAACAGTAAATAGCAAAAATTTTTATATTAACTTTTGTTCTAAATCACTGGCCACTAAAAAACGTATAACAAAACAATTCAGCCAGCACTTAAGGCGTCCCTGAAACCTTGAAAATGAAACAAACATGTCAACAAAAGAGGTTGCATGTCACATAGTGAACGCAACTCACCATATTGTCGCGGACCCTTCATGATTCCCCACTGCTCCAGTTATCCTACGGGATCTTGTAGATGGGCTTAGGAAAATGTAGTTTTACCCTTACTTATATTACACTCGATCAGAAGTAGAAAATACTTTGTCTTGTTATTAATATTTAATCTGTATTTAATGTATTTACGGAGAACGTCATTATTGTTTAAATTTAAAAGTATTTTCCTTCGTCTCGAAACTTTATATCACCGTATTATAAATGTTTTAATTTATAACCCAATTTATGTTGACTTAAGCGTAATAAAATTGTAGGGTAATTAAAAAAAACATTAATTTGAAATACAATGAATTACATAACTCCAAAATATTTTTTTCTTATTTTTCCGTAGCTGGTCTACGCCGTAGCACTTTATATTCGAGAACAAATAGTAGCGACAGAAAACATCCCTTATTTTAGCGAGTTCAACACACTCACAAACAAAACAGAACCGACCCTCTCCCTCACACTGACATAAACACGATATTTTATCCCTTTCATTCACACTAAATTCATAATATAACTATCTCTTTCTACATGGCATATGCTTGGGTTACTCTTTCCCTCGCAAAATCGATTCCAGTCACATTTTCCCATGTTTCTTTGAGAGATGGACGGAATTGTCGTTTACGAATGAAGAAATACGTCTATTATTAATGAAATTTAATATTACAAGTGTTTTAAAGTGTTTAAATTGATTGTTTTAATCGTAAAATTTGTTTACGTAAAACTGTGTGCAATTTTTTGTGTGTGGCTAGAAAGGTACTCGTGTTTTGCGATTTTCAGGTGAGTGATTACAATTGTGTGTTTGTGTGTCGTTTTGAAAAGGTCATAATATAAATAGATAATTATGATAGCACTGACTTTATGATTTAATTATTTTATAGATTTTTACTATAAATAAATCTTCGTTTTTATAAAAAGGTGGGACCAATCATCTTTTCTTAATGACCTTTGCGTATTTCATGGGCGTATTTATAATCTATCCATCTACCTTGACAATCGAATTTTCCTATCTTTTCCTTATTAGAAAAGGGTGGTCAGAAAACCAAAAGAGGACTTTAATCAGAAGCACAATTGACTCTAATATTTTGATGTGTGGTATTACTACGTTTTAACAATATTTACGACGCGGCAGGACATTAGAAAAAGGTTAAGGTTTAGTTAATTATAGCTTTCGCCAGAGATTCTACGTTTTATAAGGTTTAATTAGTAACCTGTGTGTTTATATGGATGTTTGTTAGAAGGTCAAGGAAGTAGAATATAGTTTGGAAAAACATATAGCCTCTTATTAGATAGATAGATAAAGCCTTTATTCACTGACAATAATAAACTTAATATTACAATATTGACAAACTTATTTTCTTTTATAATATTATACATAATTAACGTATATTATTTGTATGTACAATTTATTGCCCAGCGTCCAGTTGCATGTCAGGTTGTCCCTCGACATAGTCTCTTCCACACCTCTATCTCACCTACCTTTTTTTATATCGCTGAAATAGCGAAGTGACCGTTGCCCATAGACATACGCAATTGCATATGCGTTGCCTACCTTTAATCGACGGAGGAGAGGATACACAGAAAGAAAATATCTTCCCTTTCCATGCATTCTCTCATCCGGAAAGTCCACTTCCACTTCTCATCCTTTTCTTATAAGACAGAGGGTGGGATAGGAAAGAGGACTAAATTAGGCCTCCGGGACGCACACTCATCAGACGAAACATGAAATTGCTTTCACTACACGCCTGTCTTCTTCACGTCTTTTTCGTGCGAAAATGTTAAAGCGGACTCTACCACTGTTGACCTAATTATTTAGTCTTTTTTAAATACAGTGTGGAAAGTTGCGAGCAACAATTAATTTATCCATAACACAATTGAAGGCTGCAACCCAGTGGGGTAGGCACGATATGGATTTCCATTTGGCGTGCTCCTGGCACACCGGTTTTACTCACACAGATATATGCATGAACATCACTATCTTGTTAATAAGAACAATTAGTTAATAATGTTTACTAATAGTAATAATTTAAGTGAGATGGATCGAGATTGTATATTGAATTTGTACTAGAATCTAGTCTCATTAGTTAAACGAGGGATTTTATTTACATACATAACATACGTTCGGGAAGTTATATGCCAAAAAAATAGGACATCTTTCCTTTGTAAGAAAGTACTGTTTCTGTTTCTTTGTTACGTTTTTGGGTCACACGAAACCATTTCTTTTCACCACAAAATACTCGTACAAAAGTAATCATTTTATTGTCCTTGAGATAACTGAAACATTTTTTTAATATTTAGGAGAATTTCGTTAATTTATGTGTGTAAATTTGTTAATTGTGACCACGAGATCCAAAACTATTAGATTACTAGCTGCCGCCCTCAACTCCGTCCGCGCGGAATAGAAATTTAAGTAGTCTATGTGTTTTTCCGATGTTCTACATCTATGACAAATTTCATTAAAGTCCGTTAAGCCGTCCATCTAAATATTCGCATTTATAATATTAGTAAGAAGTAAGATTGGCGCTTACTTTGAGATAACGTTTTCATTAAAAAATCAATCGTATTTTAGAAATGTATATTCAGGATATTATTCTGTGTAGGTTCGAATATTGGACGAAAGATTGGCAATATCCGATACCTTGCTAACTTCCCGATAATTGATTCGCTTCGAATTTTCGTTTTCAATTCCCAGAGTTTATGAATTCCCGGTATGATCAAACATTCAGTTGCAATCAAACAAAATTTACTACTAATTTAGTAGTTTTTAGTAATTATATATCTGAACGTACTATTTCAACAAAATCAAAAAAATGTAGCAACATTTTTTTCCAACACGTTGCAAATCGTGGTTATATTATTCTGACTCTTACCCCTCTTTATGAGGGTTGCAGGGGTTGCAAGGTACCCTCACAAGCAATGACAAGGGTGCAAAATTCGATTATTTCAAAGATTTATCAGATGCACTTTCTAAAACATTTTATTTTGCACATAGAATAAGTATGATTAAATTACAAAATTAATAACAATGAATTTTCTTTCGATCTTTCGAAATACGCGTAATTTTTATTAAAATTTTACGAAACATTTTGCCAACCTAATGTGCATTTCACAGTTGTAAAAAGCAAAAAAAAAGGATAACAAAGGGTTTAAATGAACGGTGCATGCCAACACCCTTTAGAGGGGCATACGTTTGTGAACGAGTGGCTGAATGTAACAAAAGCTTTTGCCTTTTATGTAAAGGAGGGAAAACGTTTTATAATAATATTAAATTTATATTTCATTATAAAAGTTTTTGTCTTTTGACGCGTTTAAAATGTTATTTTATTTTATTTTATCTCTACTCTATCTATTTATTTTTATTTTTTTGATACTTAACTATTTGGCTGAATTAACAAAAACTTTTATCTATTGGTGTAATGGCGGCAAAATGTTTTTTTTAAACTGTCATTTTATCCTTACCCACTGTACATTTAACAATTATTTATTCGTTTACGTATAAAGTTGATTTGTTTTCAGTAAATCTTCGTGATGCCGTGGTTGGTGTGAAATGGACGGCATACAGATGGAGCCCATCGGCAAATATAAAGCCGATAGAAACGGTTCGGCGAAAGGTAAAAATCAACCAATTCTTTCATTATCTGTGAGTTTCTAACACAAAATCACGGTTTAAATTGTATTGTTATCTCGGTTTTATCAAATATAATGACAGGGATGACGATATCTTTTATACGAAAATTTAAATTCTGCCAAAAACATTATTTTTCTGTCCTTTTCGCTACGTATCGTTCGCAAATTATGTTTAACTCTTACTTTGATAAAAACGTACTACGACAAATTATTTCTAACAATGACTACTTTATATATTGTGAATGAAGATTCCTTTTAATTATCATTCAAATGTTAAAAATTGATTTTATTTCTAGCCGCCGCTTGGCGAAACATGGTGGATCAAGATTTGGATGACGTGGCTTTTCTTGCGGGTGAGTTAAATACAATTTATATAAACTAAAAACATTTATTTTTAAGAAATAAAATTAACTTAACCTTTACGTCAAAGTAAAAAAAAATCGGACCAATCGTTGCGGAGACACAGACAAACAGTTTCGAAATTGTTTTTTCTTTATAAGTAAAGCAATCATGTTCACGAAATATGATTTTATGGATATAACATACAGACACACCAATTTTATTAATCTAGATATATAAAAAGCAATTGCTGTTCGTTAGTCTCGCTAAAAATTGAGAACGTCTGAACGGATTTATCTTATCTTGGGCCTTAAAATGTACGTGGAGGTCTAGGGACCTTCCTTAAAAGGTGAGAAAAATTCGCATAATTGCCGGAAACTAATTAAGTTTTTTTTTCCATTCGACGCGGACGGAGTCGCGTGCGACAACTAATATATAATAATTGTAGTCCAAGCAATACTCTTTTACGTGTTGAAATGTTATCATATTATAAAAGTAAATCGCATTTTTTATGCTGACTGTACTAACATACGTGAGACAGAGGCGTGAGCTGGAATGAGTACCTCATTAAAGCGGTAAATGAGAAAAATAGGGGAAAGGATCGTGTGCGTTTGAATTACTTTGTAAATTACACCTCCGTGAAGGTTCTTCAAACTTCTTAGTACTAACCTAGGACTTCGTTCGTTACCACCGATGCGTTAAAACGTTTTTACCGTTTTCGCGTCGCGTAGAGTTAGAGATGATGATGATGACTTCTTCTTCAGTCCAGTAGTCGTCATCAGATCAGAGTCACACAACAGGATTACGTTCGTTCGATTTAGTACTAGCTCGGGACTTCAACTGCGTATATTTAAAAATAAACTAAGTTAATAGTCTATGCAATCCAAACTATAGTTCATATCCAAATATAAAAACAGATTAATATAGCCATGAAGTTAAGTAGTAATAAAGAATCTTAAAGCTGTTAATAGATGGCGTTGGAGTCATTTTAAAACGCAGTATTGTTACTCGTACGTCAAACATACCTATAAAATGTCCTTGATATGAAGTGCTTTCTTCCCAATCAGGTAATAATAACGAAGTAACGGCCCGAGCCGAGGTTCCTGAGGGAGCCCTCGAGCTTAGTTACTCTTATACGAGGTTTAGGCTAAGTGTCATCTGCACACGGCCACCTCAAGCCCGGTAAAGCTGTAAATGCCTCCTCAAGGCAAACAGTGTCAATCAGTCACAAAAAAACACTTTCTAGTTCGTGTATCCAACTGAAGAGTTCTGTTCAAAAGATTCGAGTCTTAACTTAAACCTTGTAAGCATTTTCAAACGAGTCCAAGGTTAGTAACAAGTGTTCTTCACATTTGAGACGTGTTAGATACAAACAAACTAGCCATACTTGAGGGGTGTTGTCTTTTTTTAACACTTAACCCATATTAGGTTTTCGACGTTTATTTTCCTACCAATATTTCCTACCCATTTCTAGATGTCAAGGATGAATGAGTGAATCGGAGCTAGTCATTGATAACTCAACTAGAATTGATGACCTAGAGTTTAACTCACGATCCACATGTGTGAAGCTGATCTGGGTACAGTAAATTTGTACCTGGACAGAGTTATGGTTTGCTTATCAACCTGGTAACTTATCACCAAGAAGTTCATGGTTCGTCGATTCACATAATTATAGTACATCGCGATGAGCCATGAGCTGCAGCAGAACGCTTCAAGTCTATGTATCTTGAACTTTAGAACTTATGCATAACTGATTTACCGATACATGGAACAGTGTTCTTTATATCATAAGGTGGCAAAAGAGCGAGCGGACACTTGTAATCGCTTAAATAGCGAAGCTACCGTTGCTTATAGACATACGCATATGCATTGCCTACCTTTAATCCGCGAAGGAGAGGATGCACAGAAAGATAATGATTACCCATGTATCCTCTCATCCGGAAAAGCACTTCCACTTACCATTCATTCCTTATAAGAATAAAGGTGGGAAGGAAAAGAGGACTAAATTAGGCCTCCGGGACGCACACTCATCAGACGAAACGCGGAATTGCTTCCACTTAACGCCTGTCTTCTGTATGGTTGTGGTATTTCACCGGGCGATACGGGCCAATTCGTTTTGTGGCCGTAACAGCGGTTTACGAACAGCTAAGCGACCAGAGGTCTACTGTCACATACAACTTTTGTATAATTCAGACCAAATTGACAATCTATACCCAGATACGGACAAAGCGAGAGAGGCGAGGGAACTAGGAGATGCGCCTGTCGCGGTATGCTCGCAGCGTAAAGCGCTATGTCTCACCGCTTTGGTCTTCACAGCAATATTCGCTACCGCATTACTCGTAGTATATGCGAGTCCTCAACCAGGTAAGATAGACCTTTTTTAAAATAAAAATTAGTATATTAAAATCTTTAAACTTTAGTAAGTCATTATAAACTTAATAAAAACGGCTGATTAGGGCGCGAAACTAGTCAGTGCCGACATCGGATTGAGTATAATTTTGTGTAGCCATTTTTTTAAATCATATAATTTGGTTCACAATACTCGAATGGGATTCGAACCTATGACCACGTCAGGACGTCTACACCTTCAACTAAAAGGCTCTTCATACTGTTTACATCTTTAACTGACTCTTTGTAGGTGTCCATATATTTTTATCTTTCTCCAGCTTTATGTACCATTATTTCAGTATTCAGTCTTTACTGTCAAGTTGCTATACAATGCTGAACAACACAGATTAAAAATATATTTTTAAATCAACAGACTGTCCGTGTGCTGGAGGCAGCCCTCTTATACCAGGGCAAGTACCTACAGAACTGGAAACCAGCGTATCTTCTACTAATAAGTAAGTATTATTTTAAATTTGATAGAATTCAAAAATATGTGTGGAGTCCTGCACTGGACCAGCATTTACAATCACATAGTCTCACTTAGGGTAGACTCTGAGACCCTCATTGGAGTATAGTGAGCTGATGATGATTATTATAAAACCAAGTTAAAGATTGCAAAAAAATATTTTTCATTGTAACACCCTGTATAGTAAACGAGTGGACAGATTTTGACAAGTGAGGTGTCATTATTTGGGTGGGTTTTCTTACGGTGAAGGAAATCGTGATGCTGAACATATCTGAGAAAGTCAAATGTGTGAAGTCTTGCACTGGACCAGCATTCACTATCACATAGCCTCACTTAGGGTAGATGAGACCCTCAGTGGAGTAAAGTGAGCTGATGATGATTATTTTGAATACAGTGATTACAAGGATAGAATAGCATCTAATGGTGCAGTCTTCCCTTGGCGTGGTGCTCGTCTTCCTACATTCATGATACCGAAACACTACAGCCTCTGGTTACACCCTAATCTAACGACTGGGGAATTACGTGGTAAGTATTTTCAGACATTATTAGTTAAAATCCTTTGGCTCTCGTTACCAAATCATGTGTCAGATTGATTAGTGAGGGGACATAAATGTTGATATTTTAAGTCTAGTGTTGCGCCGATATATCAGCACTGTGTCAGATTTTCTTCCTAACAGTATAAATCCTTCCACACGAACATTCCTCACTGGAAATATACAGTCAGCTGCATAAATATGAATGCAGCCGTCGCCTGCGACGCCTTCAGCGATGAATTAAAAAACTCAGTAGCATATATGTTCTTCCAGGTTATGTTTTACATCTATACCAAATGTCACCGAGATCCATGCCACTGTTGCATCCATCCATCTAAACATTCGCATTTATAATATTAGTAAGATTTACAAAACTAAAAATTTGCATAGACCGTCAATCTCAAAAATACAAATGCACGTATCATCAAGAACCGTGTAAGATCGGAAGCATATCCGAAGGTATTCATATGTAATTTTGCAACCAAAAGCGTATAGAATTTGAATCGTTGTTATTGTATACATATTAATGTAGCTGACTGTACTTGCATCATGTTTTGCTCTTTATTATAACAGGTGAAGTATCCATAGACTTTAGAGTGGATCGTGATACAGGCTTCTTGGTACTTAACGTACGAGATATGAATGTAACAGAACGGGCACTATTCAAAAGTGGAGGCTCCTTAGGACCGAAAATAGTGAAGACTTTGGACTATCCACCCGCTGATCAGACTTATATTGAGTTTAAAGTAAGTATTTACTGACTAGCCGTCTCTCGCGATTCCGTCCGCGAATTAAAGAAAAAACTTTAATAAGTAGCCTATGTGTTCTTCCAGACTATGTATACCAAATTTCATAAAGATCCGTTGAGCCGTTCCGGAGATACCTTCTAACATCCATCCATCCATCAAAACTTTTCCATTTATAATATTAGTAAGATTTAGCCAATAGATTTTATATATTACAGCCTTACCGCAGGTTTCTGAGACTAAAAACCCAGTTTAAAACATATCTCTGTTTTATGAAAGACAGGGATAAAGATATGTTTTATACAGAAAATTTGGTATCAGAAACCGACTTTAAATCAGTCGCATTTTTTTTAAATTAACGAAAACGAAAAAAAAATAAACAAAAAAAATTGGCCCGCTGATTATAACCTTCATGGGGCCTTGTGGATCATGCTAAATAGAACAATTCGACTAAAAGCAACAGCGAGGTGTTAAATGGAAGTATGGCTTGTCGGACACATAGTCCGACACTACCTGATTGAAACATTAGCTTGTCGGTCATAAAATCCGACATGGCAGCTAACGTGTTAAGCCCTGCTTCGTATCATCTACAACTTTTTATCTTTTTCTTAAAGGAGAAACTTCGTCGGAAGTATAATTACACTTTGAGTCTTCGTTTCATCACCAAATTAGGTAAAGGTGATAAACAAAGAGGTTTCTTTCTAACAGGAACACATAGACGGTAATTTTTTTTTATACTAGCTCTTGTCCTCGACTACGTCCGTAAAAAAGACATAATTAGTAGCCCACGTGTTCTTCCAGAGTATGTTCTATATGTATGCCAAATTTCATCCAGATCTGTTGAGTCGTTCTGGAGATATCTTCTAACATACATCTAAACATTCACATTTATAATATTAGTAAGATTTAAAAGTTCATAAAACAATATAAACGGCTATTTACGTATAGTTTAATAATAAACTAATTAAAAACTAAAACTAGTCGATGCCGACAAGGGGGGGTGCATAAATTACGTGAGGTTTTTTTTTTATTTTCCGCAACTCCCTCCCCCTTGGTGAGATGTCGTGAGATTTTATTCAACCCCCAACCCCAATCTCACGTGAGATTTTTACAAAATGTGAGTTTCTTACGTAAAAGCTTTGGATTGTTATTGTAAAAAAAAAGTAAAAAAAAAATTGCATGATATTTTCCGAGACCCCCCCTCTCTAACGTAAGATTAGATGAGATTTGACTCGACCCCCCCTTAAACACCTCATGTAATTTATGGACCCCCAACGGACTGATTTGTGTATAGTCGTTTTTAATTAGTTTATAATAAAGTGTCATGAAAGTTTACTAAAATTTAATAATTACAATTTTAAGTTTATTTTTTTAATGATATTAAAAAAAATAAGCTTTTTAATTAACAATTAATTAGTTATTTTTATTTTACTTTATCTAAATAATATTTATTTCAGACGATGTGCTGTTTCACGTTTTTGGTTGACGCACGCTCGTTCAGCTTTCCCATGTTTAGACGAACCTCATTTGAGAGCTACGTTCAAACTTACTATTGTTAGAGACAGGTATTTATAACTAATTACTAAAATTACTATTAAAATTTAAAAAAAAGCTTTATATATGACAAGTTTTTATTTAGTTTGTCATGTCTTGATGTTTGTTACAAATGTAAGGTCAACTTGTCGCTTGCGTGTTACAGATTGAGTAGAAATGTTACATACATCAGCTCTGAGTCCCCACTGAGGGTAGAATCTACCCTCAGTGAGACTATGCTGATCCAGTGCAAGACTTCACACATTTGACTTTCCCAGATATGTGCAGCATCACGATGTTTTCCTTCACCGTAACAACGTACGATAAATGTACATATGTAACACATTGCTACATGACGGGATTCGAACTCAAGACCTGCAGACGAGTCAACTGACTAACCTCTAAGCCAGAAACGCTTGAATTGTTAGATAAATGTCTAAATCACGTGACAATACAATATTATGATGACACGGAGCTGATCCGATGATGCAGCTTCTACATCCTCATGACAACTTCATAACACAACTCGTTTAAATCGTCTTGATCATCTTTTTTTTAGTTTTTTTAATTAATTATAACGTAGTTTAAAGATTGTTTTTAAAAATGTTTTTTCTAATTTTAAATTTTGCAGATTTCACGTTTCCTTGACAAATATGCCTATAGTTGCAACGGAAGAGGCGGGCTTCTATCTTGGGCATAGATTGGTGAGTAATATTCTATTAGTTTAATATTTAGTCTTAAAAACTTAGAAATAAACTTAAAAAAAAAATATTACTAGCTTTTTATAAATTTATGTATGTTTCTGATTCCAATTAAGCTATATACTTACGACAATAATCATAGCAGGATTCGAACCTTCCACGTGATTAGATATCTTTACCCTTACCCATTATGCTATTGGGTCTTCTTAACTCCAACAGTTACAAGATGAATTTGCTCAGTCACCACCAATATCACCGCATATGATATCACTAGCCGTATGTCGGCTGCAGCGACGTGCTGCACCAATCAATGTCACTGAAAACATGGATTCAGAAGATGTACCCACTGAAATAAGCTTATATAGTGATCAGGAAACAATATTGGATGAATCCGGGTAAATATATTAGTATTATACGCTTTAAATCTGAAATACTAAGATGGATATGTGGTGTGGCAAGAAAGGGTAGAGCCCGCTTTAACATTTTCGCAGGAATTGTCCTCGCTCAGTGAAATACCACGACCACACAGAAGACACGCCTCAAGTGCGAAGCTATTCCAACTACAGTCTGATGAGTGTGCGTCCCGGAGGCCTAATTTAGTCCTCTCTCCCTTCCTTTTTTCTTATAAGGAAAGAATGGAAAGTGGAAGAGGACTTTCCGGATGAGATGTATGGGAAGGGAAAATATTTTCTTTCTGTGCATCCTCTCCTCCGTCGATTAAAGGCAGGCAACTCATATGTAATTGCGTATGTCTATGGGCAACGGTCACTTCGCTATTTCAGCGATTTTATGTGACCGCTCGCTCGTTTGCCATCTTATGATGTAAAAAAAGTTAAGAATGTGTATATTAGAGAAAGTTTAAAGTAGCGCCAGTGATGGAGAAATTGAGGAGTAAAAGATTAGCGTGGTTTGGACATGTTATGTAGAAGGATGATGATATAAACAAAAAAGTAATGAGATTGAATTTGCTATAAAAGTAGAGGAAAACCAAAGAAATGTGTGAAAGAGGATATGTGTAAGAATGGATTCAGATATGACGGCTGATAGAGATGTATGTAGGAGTACATGTGCCGACCCTCCGTTTGTAAGCTTATACTTGAGTTTGTAAGCTTATACTTGAGTTTGTAAGTTTATACTCGAGTTTGTAAGTTTATACTTGAGTTTGTAAGTTTATACTCGAGTTTGTAAGTTTATACTCGATTTTGTAAGTTTATACTTGAGTTTGTAAGTTTATACTTGAGTTTATAAGTTTATACTTGAGTTTATAAGTTTATACTTGAGTTTATAAGTTTATACTTGAGTTTGTAAGTTTATACTCGAGTTTGTAAGTTTATACTTGAGTTTGTAAGTTTATACTTGAGTTTGTAAGTTTATACTTGAGTTTATAAGTTTATACTTGAGTTTATAAGTTTATACTTAAGTTTATACTTGAGTTTGTAAGTTTATACTTGAGTTTGTAAGTTTATACTCGAGTTTGTAAGTTTATACTTGAGTTTGTAAGTTTATACTTGAGTTTGTAAGTTTATACTTGAGTTTATAAGTTTATACGGGAACTAAAGTCTTGATTGTTATTTGATTTCTTTTGATTCTTGTTATAGACCTCTACTGGAATGGGTACAGAGAACTATTCAACTATTTGCATATGAACTAAACACTTCATATCCATTACCTAAATTTGGTAAGTATTTTACAGATAGTCATATTATTGTGTACTAGCTCTCGTCTGCGACTCCGTCTGTGCAGAATTAACAAAAAAACATAATAAGTAGTCTATGTGTTCTTCCAGACTATGTTCTATATGTATGACAAATTTCATCAAGATCCATACAGCTGTTCTGGAGATATCTTCTAACATGTAAACATTCGCATTTATAATATTAGTAAAATTTTTCCTGATTTACAGATATAGTAGTGGTTGATGGAAGCAACCCCTATTCAGAGGGATGGGGTTTGATTATTCTCGATCCAATCACACTTACGGACACAAAAGTAATCGCCAAATTAATAGCGCAACAAGTAAGTTTATCGTGAGTTTCTGAAAAGGCCAGTTTTGAATTCCTTTTTTTAAGTTTTTAAATCCGTCTCATCATCATCAGTTCACTATACGTCCTCACCGAGGAGCTCGGAGCCTACCCTAAGTTAAGGGTGATTAGGCCATAGTCAACCACTACTTCTTACGGTGAAGGAAAATATCGTGATGCTGCACATATCTGAAAAAGTCAAAGATATGTGTCACCCTTAACTTAGGATAGGCTCCGAGCTCCTCAGTGGAGACGTATAGTGAGCTGATGATCATTCACTATCACATAGTCTCACTTAGAGTAGACTCTCAGTGGGGAGTTGAGCTGATGATGATTGCGATTTGTCAGTGGTTCGGTGGGCTTGTGTCTCCACGTTGGTGGAGTTCTCAGTGGCTGATGGAAGCTCTCACGTCAGTACTGAGCGAGAAAGCAACACCGCTAAGTGACGCGACAGCTGAGAGAGAAGAGGACGCATTACTGCTAGACCACGTGTTACCTGCACTTAGGTAAGTCTCCTATAAACACATATTAAGGTTAATTTAACTACTTCAGGTTGTATGTAACTTATAAAAAAAGTCTGGACTCGTATTAGAATTTTTTTTATTTCTATGTCTCAGCAAGCTAATAAGTATACCTCTCCTAGCTGTCTATGTGTTCTTCCAGACTATGTTCTATATGTATGACAAATTTCATCAAGATCTATTGAGTCGTTCTGGAGATATCATCTAACATACATCTAAACATTCGCATTTATGTTATTATTAACTTTAGACCCTATAAGACTATATATTATTTGGCTGTAATAATTTCTTTGTCTCAACAAGCCAAACAAATATACCTCTTCTATATTTTATTCGAGATTTTGTCCACACGGAAATAAAAAAAACATGATAAGTAGTCTATGTGTTCTTCCAAACTATGTTCTATATGTATGATAAATTTAATCAAGATCCATGCAGCTGTTCTAGAGGGACCTTCTAACATCCATCCATCTAAACATTCGCATTTATTATGTTAATAAGATTTTATTTTACTGTCCTGTGGTCTGTAACTGTGACCATGGAATAAAAAGTAGTCTATATGTTCTTCCAGACTATGTTCTACATCTATGACAAATTTCATCAAGATCCATACAACCGTTATGGAGATACATTCTTACATCCATCCATCCATTCGCATTTATAATATTAGTAAGATAACATACGATATAAAATACAGATTGGATTCAAGCTATTCCGTACGTGCGGTTGCAAATCCAAGACTAGAACGAGCCGATATAGAATCCTCGGCTGAAGAATTATCACTACACAAGGTACAAGCGATATTTTATACAAAAATCTAATATCACACAGAAAACAGGCGTGAAGTGGAAGAAATTCTGCGTTTCGTCTGATGAGTGTGTGTCCCGGAGGCCTAATTTAGTCCTCTCTCCCTTCCCACCCTTTTCTTATAAGGAAAGGATGGGAAGTGGAAGTGGACTTTCCGGATGAGAGGATGCATGGGAAGGGAAAATATTTTCTTTCTGTGCATCCTCTCCTCCGTCGATTAAAAGCAACGCATATGCAATTGCGTATGTCTATGCGCAACGGTCACTTCGCTATTTCAGCGATTTCGGGTGGCCGCTCGCTTGTTTGCCATCTTATGATATAAAAAAAAATCTATATAATGTTTTTACTAGCTATTGCCCGCGACTCTGTCCAACGTAGGTAGGCAACGCATATGCAATTGCGTATGTCTATGGGCAATCACTTCGTTATTTCAGCGATTTCAAGTTGCTCGCTCGCTTGCCACCTTGTGATATAAAAAAAAACTTCTCTTATTACTATGTTTAACAACTATGTCAAATTTAATCAAGATCCATTCAGCTGTTCTGAAGATACCTTCTAACATACATCTAAACATTCGCATTTATAATATTAGTAAGTTTCAGTTTACAAACTTAAGTGTATTTACTATTCTGTTAATTTCTGCTATTTTAATGATTCCATTAAAAAGGGATATTATTTTATTTTAATGAGTCAATTTTACTGATGTTTTAAGTGTTATTCGATTCGTATTTTTTCACTTAGTACAGTAAGTTTTTTTGGTTTAAAATTATATATTGTTAGGGAACATATCCATACTACGTGATTTTTTTACTTTTTTCGACCCTTCCCTCACCTCGGTGAACACTCGTAGATGCCAAGACCTCCCCCCTTTTTACCGTAGTAATTCATAATTATGATTTTTAATCATATCACAGGTAAAAATTGAAAACAGAAATAATTTGGCTCATACTCTTCTTTATAGCATAAGACTGCATGCATACCTTAATTACTAGTGAATTATGTATTATGAAAAAAAAACAACTAACAACTACGTGACTAAAATCTGAGCCAACCCCCGCTCCTGTGACTGACCGTAGACTTTTAAAGACTCCCCTCCCCCCTCCCCCCCCCTTAAACGGGTCACGTAGTATGGATACGTTCCCTTAGGAAGAAAATCCGATACAATGCCGGTGTATCGCAACACTAGCCTTATTAAAATATCAACGTTTATGTCCCCTCACTACATCTCACACATGACTTGGCGACAAATGATTCTTATATCTAAAAATAGGGTGCGGCCATAGTGAGCATGGCTATAGAGGCGGCTGGGGAAGCTGCGGGACGCGCGGCTTTATCAAGGCTGCTAAGAGATCACCGCTTCTCAAGCACCGACGCTAGGTATATCTAGCCTGTTTTAACTATTTTGTGTAAAAAAATCTTATTTAGTCTATGTGTTCTTCCAGACTATGTTCTATATGTAATTTAGTCATCTTTCCCTTCCCACACTTTTTCTTATAAGGAAAGGATGGGAAGTGGAAGTGGACTTTCCGGATGAGATGTATGGGTAGAGAAAATATTTACTTTCTGTGCACCTTCTCCGTCGATTAAAGGTAGACAACGCATGCAATTGCGTATGTCTATGGGCAACGGTCACTTCGCTATTTCAGCGATTTCAGATATAAAAAAATGTTCTATATGTATGAAAAATATCATCAAGATCCGTTGAGCTGTTCTGGAGATACTCTCTATCATCCATCCATCTAAATATTTGCATTTATAATATCAACAGCTCACTATACGTCCCCACTCGGAGCCTACCTTAGGGTACCTACCTTAGGGCTCGGAGCCCCTAGGGTGACTAGGCTATAGTCAACCAAGGTGGCCAAGTGCGGGTTGACTTCACACATATCTTTGAATTACTTCTCAGATATGTGCAGCATCACGATTTCCTTCACCGTAACAACATAGGATAAATGTACATATGTAAAAACAAACACATCGATACATGACGGGATTCGAACTCAGGACCTGCAGATTGCAAGTCAAGTGCTTGACCCCTGAGCCACTTACATCTAATTTGCTATTCCAGAGACCTCTGGCGTGCGTTACAGAGGAACGGTACAGATGACACACCGGCCCACGCTTGGGACGGCTGGTGTGACAAAGCCGGGTATCCATTACTATCCGCAAGGATATCCGGACCTGATGTCATCATAAGACAAGAAAGGTAAGTTACCTTGTATAAACCTTATCTTACCGTTGGTTTACATTGCAACAGTAAAACACAGCGGTAACCAATCTCGCATTATTTCAAATTATTGCTTACTAGCGACAGCCCGCGACTCCGTCTGCGTGGATATATAAAAAAACTTAATTAGTGTAGCCTATGTGTTCTTTCAGATGTTCTATACTTATGTCAAATTTAATCGAGATCCGTTCAGCCGTTCTAGAGATATCTTCAAACACCCATCCATCCACTTCACATCCATCTTAACATTCGCATTTATAATATTAGTAAGATGTGCCGACCCTATTCATGAGTTTAGCCATTTTTATTTAGTTTAAGTTGGAGTGTAACAAATCTACTACTTTAGGGGACGCCCTTGGTAACAGAATTCTACATTTACTAGTCGCTAATAGATCACTAAGGATGACCCTTAGGGTAGATTTATATTTTATCATTATTCCATTTCATTTGGTAATAGATTTGTGATGACCGCTGAACCACCTGATCCTGAGCCTGTGATGATTAACAGCCTCCTCACTATGGATTTGAGAGCTGATCTAGACGAATTATTCTACGAGCCTGGTAAGCTAACAAAAGGCTCTTATGTAAATAGATTTAACATAAATTGAACCTAAACAGACTATGTTCAACAGACAGACAACAGACTTATGTTCTATATGTATGACAAATTTTATGTAGATCCATACAGGAGTTCTGAAGATATCTTCTAACAAACATACAAACATTCGCATTTATAATATTAGTAAGATTAAGTTAATAATTGTTTTAAAATTAGCAGCTGTTAAGCAAATAACAAAAAAAAACATAAATATCTCTAACATGCAGAAAACTACACGGAAATAATAGAAGAAGATATAAACGCAACAACAACAACACAACAACCAACAACAACAACAAAACGTACAACAATAAAAACAACAAAACCCCCTCCTTTACCCAAATGGGTTATCCCAGTTACATTCTCAGTGGGACCATTAGAGAACGATGAAGAAGAAAATATAACAAGAATATGGAAGAATACCACTGAAAGCATACATAATGGAACTTGGTAAAGTATTCTTCTAAAAAAAATTAAAAAAAAACTATCATCAGGTCATTATACTCCACTGAGGGTAGAGTCTACCCTAAGTGATAGTATGTGATAGTGAATACTGGTCCAGTGCAAGACTTCACACATTTGACTTTGTCAGATATGTGCAGCATCACGATGTTTTCCTTCACTCTATAGGATAAATGTACATATGTAAAAACACATTGCTACATACCGGGATCCGAACACAGGACCTGCAGAGTCAACTGCTTAACATCTGAGCCATTGTCACTCTTATTTACTTTTAGTATGACATTTTTCTTTTAGGTATGAAGTAAATAATGATACGAAAATCCATCGAATCTCACGTTGGGTAGAAAATATCACACATCTCATATGGATGAACGAAACTGAAAGTAAGTTAATAAAAATATATATTACGGTGGAGTTTGGTTGCCGCTTGCAGAAGGTTCATGGTGCATTTCAATCTTCAAAATGACTATAATAACGTAGGTAACACGCGATGGTTCAATGTACATTCCAGTCGGCAGCAACATGAGAAAGGTTCTGCTGACCCATCGAACGACGACAGACGTCGCTGGCGTCACTGTCCGTAGTAAAAAAACGTAGTAAATTTAAGCAATTGTCATAATATTATATAGATAAAGTCCATTAAACATACAGAATTTCATCTTAAATTATTCAAACTTTCGTTAGACATTATACTAAACTGATATAAAAACGGATAAACACTCACGTATATACGTCCGGTGGCACCGACTAGTTTCGAGCCCATCGGAATCAGTGGTACTCACTCGAAACTAGTCGGTGCCGACACCGGACGTATATACGTCAGTGTTTAGCCGTTTTTATATCAGTTTAGTATTTCATCTTTTTAATATTGGAATGTATATATAAATACACAACTATCAAACTGGATCCTTATTCATCATCATCAACCTGCCCTTATCCCTATTGAGGGTCGGCACATGTACTCCTCCATACATCTCTATCAATCGTCATATCCGAGTCTACCCCCTTCCTACGCATATCCTCTTTCACACATTCCATACTTTTTTGGTCTTCCCCTACCCTTGTAGCCATCCACATTCAATCTCATTACTTTTTTGCTTATATCATCATCCCTCCTCATAACATGTCCTGGAACTGGATACTTATACATAAATATATTTTTATCTATCTAACATCATTAAATATCCTACACCACGTAATACTACATCAACTAAACATTTAACTCTATTAATTACAGTGTTAATACCCGATTTGGGTAAACACAAATGGGTGAGATATAATGTTGGAGCGAGAGGGCTGTATAGAGTCGCTCCACAAGATCATGCTGAAGGAGAGGTTTGTCATCATTTTTTTTAATATAATATAATAAATCCTTGTAAAATTTACTATTGTAACTTAATCTACTTCCTTATAATGATAGAACTAGGATATAGAAATATATTTCCAGTTTCCCATTCTACTGTTTTTATTAAGTACTAGCTGTTGTCCGCGGTTCCGTCTCTGGGGATTGAAGATAAAACGTAATTAGTAAGCCTATGTGTTGTTTCACCGTATGCTCTACATCTATGCCAAATTTAAGCGCGATCCGTTCAGCTGTTCTAGATATGTTTTTAAACAAACATCCATCCAAACATTCGCATTTGTAATATTAGTAAGATTCTGCTCATATAAACAATATCATTATTAAAATTGTAACAATTGATTTGTTGGACTAAAGTTGCCATCTCAAATCTTAACCTTTTACCCGCCATGTGTATAAAAATGTTTCATCTCCCAAAATCCATAAAATCTTAACCTTTTACCCGCCATGTGAATAAAAATGTTTCATCTCCCAAAATCCATAAAATCTTAACCTTTTACCCGCCATGTGAATAAAAATGTTTCATCTCCCAAAATCCATAAAATCTTAACCTTTTACCCGCCTTGTGTATAAAAATGTTTCATCTCCCAAAATCCATAAAATCTTAACCTTTTATCAGCCGTCATCAACCTGCTTATCCCTACATGTACATGTACTCCTCCATACATCTCCATCAGCTGCTACCTTTCTAGCCACATATAACCTTTTATCAGCCGTATAGAACGTGGGCTTTATCTTCTAGAGTCCAGAAATGTTAGCACAACGCGCAGCAGAATTATACGATAATGGGATGCCAGCTGAGAGAGCTCTTTTGTTAGATGATGCGTTTATATTGAGCAGAGCTGGCAGGTTACCTGCTAGTAGAGCAATGGCTGCTGCTGGTAAGTACTTTCAGACATTTTTAGATAGAATCATTTGACGCGCACTTTCGTAACAAAGTCTTGTATCATATGTAGTGAGGAGACATAAACGTTGATATTTTAATAAGGCTAGTGTTGCGATACACCGGCACTGTCGGATTTTTCTGCGCCTTTAACTTCAAGCAGATGCCTTCTTACCTTCTTTGCTAATTGAATTGTTCCACGCAATAGGTAATTTTTTAATAAAAAAAAATGGTCTTGATAGACGCACGGACAATGTGATCCTATAAGGGTTTCATTTTTATCCTTTAGAGGGACGGGAACTCTAAAAATGATAACTTTTGGTGTATAAGATAAAAAAATCTATGCATTTTCGTGTTACAACTTGCGTAGGAACATTCACTTTGATCAGAATATGTTTTTTTTTTTAAGGTTTTTATGTGTACTAGCTTTTGCCCGCGACTCCATCCGCCCTGAATTAAATAAAATACTTAAAAAGTAGCCTATGTGTTCTTCCAGACTATGTTCTACATCTATGACAAATTTCATCAAGATCCATGCAGCAGTTCTGTAGCTATTATACCTTCGCATCTTAACATTCGCATTTATAATATTAGTAAGAAATCCTTAACTTAACAGCCCGTCTTAGCACCGAGCATCACTGGGCACCATGGCGAGTGGTGCTCACCCATCTATCCTGGTGGAAGGAACTCCTGCGTCTCTCAGCATCAGCACCACATCTCAACAGATTGCTCAGTCAGTTGCATCCTGATGTACAGGTGTACACACAACAACAGATTGAAGCTGCTGCATTGAGTGAGGACCAACTGTAAGTTAATACAGGGTAGGCAGAGACTAGGGATCTCCATTCAGCGAAGCCAAATCTCCGCGTACAATTTTTCTCTCGGATATTCTCATCATCATCAGCTCACTATACGTCCCCACTGAGGGGCTCTGAGCCTACCCTAAGGGGTGACTAGGTCATAGTCAACCACGCAGATCAAGTGCGGGTTGACTTGACACATATCTTTGACTTTATCAGATTTGTGCAGCATCACGATGTTTTCCTTTACCGTAACGTCGGATAAATGTACATATGTAAATTTGAAATCTTATCATTTTTAAATTTAGGTTCTACTAATTCATATAGCTATACTAAAATAATAGCAAGGTTTATTTATCACAGCCACTATCCATGAAGATTTACAATTAGGATATTAGTATATACAGTAAAACGCCGATTATACGAATTATTTGGGACTTGGGCCGATTCGGATAATCATACATAGACTTATAATTAAGGAAAACGAACTGATAGAATAAACTTTATTAAGTTTAACAAACACATTTCAACAATAATGTTCACTTGAACTCGATCAAAGTTGCAACCCTATAATACAAAGTATTAACCGACCGGACCGATTCGGATATTTGGCGATTGGGATATTTGGCGATTGGCATAATTGGCGATTAGGATAATTGGCGATTGGGATAGTCGGCGATTCTAATAATTGGCGTTTGGGATAATCGGCGATTCTAATAATTGGCGATTGGGATAATTGGCGATTCGGTTAATCGGCGTTCTACTATTATATTAGTTTTTATCTATAAAGAATAAGTGTCAAGTTAATTCAGAAAATACAGCAGTCTTTTGTATATATTCCAAGGTGTTCTATTTGAGTTTTATTTCTCAGTTGGTTGAGTGGAGCTCTACTCATGGCAGGAGTGGAGTGGGAGAATGAGAACGTAACTAACCTAGCGTTAGATCTTTTCGATGCCTGGTTTGAACACAATCAGACTATACCTGAAATATATCAAGAAGTAAGTGTTTTGTATTATTACACGTTTTAAACAAACATTTCTTGCAAAATGCTTTTTTTAATATTAGCTATTTTAATTCATAAAATAGCTAAATGTGTGGAATTTGAATTAATTTACATGATTTAGAATGAAGAGTTATGTTTTTTACGTATATATGTTTATCTATCAATACAAACAGACAAACAAATCTTTTCTCTTTATAATTATCGACATATTTTGAACACGTTTTATTTTTATGTAAATTTTTTTGTAACATCCTGTATCTTAAACGAGTGAACAGATTTTGACAAATGAGGTGTCATCCGATTCGTATTCTTCTCCCGATTGTCATAAAGGTAAAAGTCGGGTTCCACTAACTGTGGGTTTCTGATACCAGAATTTCCATTCAAAACATATGTCTGTTTTGTCAGAGATAATGACAGGGATGACATTATACAGACATTTAAGTCTCAGAACGCCACTGTTTGTCAAGGCGGCGTTAGTGGCGGGGGTGAGGTCTCGTGGTGCTGAAGCCTGGCATCGTGTGTGGAGAGAACTTCTCTCTCAGAGTTCTCACTCTATACGAGCTTCCAAATTGTTACCCGCACTCTCCGCGCCTGATGATGATTGGTTATTCTATAGGTAAGATACACTAAGTTAAGTAAACTCTTGCCTGCGACTTCGTCCGCGCAGATATAAAAAAAATAGTTGCTTATGTGTTCTTCCAGACTATGTTCTATATGTATGACAAATTTCATCAAGATCCATTCAACCGTTCTGGAGATATCTTCAAACAAACATACATCTGAACATTTTTTTAAGGTGTCTCCAGAACAGCTGCATAGATCTCACTGAAATTATAGTTGTAACAGACTGGAAGAACACAGGATACTAATTACGTTTTTTATATCCGCGCGATCGAAGTCGCAGGCGTGACGGCTGACGGCTAGTATTTCTATAAAAATAGTTGCCAAAAACTTATAGCCTAGGTTGTTCTTCCAGACTATACTCTACGTCTAAGCTAAATTCCAGTAAGATCTATGCAGCTAATCTAACAAACATCCATCCATCCAAACATTCACATATAATAAATCTCAAGCAATAATTTAAGTATAACATAAGCCATTATATCTTTAGGTTTGCATTCACTGTGCTATCCAACGAAGCGCAACGTGGTCGTGACTGGAAGACATGGGCGACAGCACTCTGCGCGGGAGCATGCAAGTAAGTACTTGAAAATATCACGTGGAATGTAGTTAACAGTGGTAGAACCCGCTTTAACATATTCGCAGGAATTGTCCTCGCTCAGTGAAATACCACGACCACACAGAAGCCAGGCGTCAAGTGGAAGCAATTCCAAATACAGTCTGATGAGTGTCTGGAGACCTAATTTAGTCCTCTTTCCCTTCCCACACTTTTGCTTATAAGGAAAGGATGGGAAGTGGAAGTGGACTTTCCGGAAGAGAGGATGCATGGATAGGGAAAATATTTTCTTTCTGTGCATCCTCTCCTCCGTCGATTAAAGGTAGGCAACGCATAAGCAATTGCGTATGTCTATGGGCAACTGTCACTTCGCTATTTCAGCGATTTCAGATGCTCGCCCGTTTGCCATCCTTCAGGGATCCAGGGTTTTACCTTCCAGATCGATCTTCCTTCTATAAAAAAAAACTAAATGTTGTGGGGTTGGTTAGATGGCGAGGTGCTGCAGGTGTGTGGCGCGTTATATCGCGTGCTGGTGCTCTGCCCCCCGGCGCGTTGCAAGCCGCCGCCCGCTGTCTGCATCATCCTACTGACTACTGGAGGGTGAGTGTCCCATCATCATCATCACCTTCTACCTGCCTGTGTACTATCAATGCCTATTCAGATAGAACAGTGCGTCTATTCGACGCGATCCTAACACATCTTTCTAGCCTCTTACAGATCTTATCAGAACTCGGGCCAGGTGCTCCTGTCAGATTAAATATTTTCAGGATTGCCACATTTTGTTCCCAGGCGCCCTATATGGTTGGGCATAGCATACATCTAAGCTGGTGTATCGGCCGATTGACTAACCTATGAATCGGCCCAATGGGATTTTTTCTTAATAGAATAAAATTATTTCTCATTGGGCCGATGATCGGTACGCCGATCGGCCGATTGACTTGTAGATAAAAAATCTCATTGGGCCGATTGAGTTTTGGATAAAAAAATCCCATTGGGCCGATTGATTAGTTGGTTAATAGGCCCAAAGGTAATCTATCGATCAAATCTATCGATGCCCATAATAGGCCGAGTTGGTAGCCCGATGTTGATTGTTGACACCGACATATTTAAATTTAATTGTTACCTCTTGCAGCTTAACCGATTTGGAATATTGATGTTTCATTCGTTTCGTATTCTTCCCCTGAGTGTTATAAGTACAATTCTTATGGTAACTTGATAACGACTAGTGTAATTTTTCTAGTTTAAGGAGTTATTTGGTGAAGAACGAGGTGCTGCAGCAGCACTGGATACGATAGCATTGAACGCGGCGTGGGTATCACGCGCCGATTCAGATCTTCTCAGATATTTTAAATCTGTTAGAACGCGATAGGAAAAAAAAACATTTTGAATGCGAACCAACTGAAATATGAATTAACACTAACTAATTTAATGATTCAATCATTATATCGCCAATAAATATCATTGACTCGTTAATTTACTTATCGTGGGTTTCTGAAACAATCTCGGTATAAAACTTTACTTTGAGAAAACACTGATAACGATCTTACTTTATCAACCTGCCCTTATACCTACTGAGGAATCCCTACTCCTCCATACATCTCTGTCAGCCGTCATATCTGTATCCACCTCCTTCTTACACATATCCTCTTTCACGCACTCATTCCATACTTTTTCAACAACAACAACAATCTTACTTCTTACTAATATAAATGCGAATGTTTGGATGGATGGATGTTTGAAGGTATCTACAAAACGGTTAAACCAGTCTTTCCCAAAGTGTGCGATAACGCCCCTTTGTGTGCGCTGCAGGTCTCAATAGGGTAAGAGACCCAGAAAGAAAATGGGGGTGTTGTGTAGAGGCCTGGGGGGTGATTTGTAATTTTATTTAGCTAGGAGGCCTCTTAGACAACGACTCCATGAGCTCGACTCTCAACAACTTGTGAAAAATAATTATTCTCAAAGTGGGCAGTAGACAAAATAAGTTTGGAAACCACTGATATAGAGCAGTCTGGAAGAACACATAGACTACTTTATTTTTTATTCCGAACGGACGCAGTATTTTAAACGGATGTTTTGGATTCAGAAACCCACGATTAGTACTATTTTTGTCATAATTATTGACAATTAGTAATGTTTTTTTTTATTTTAGTTAATTTTACACTTTTTTTTTTATTAACAGAAGAGCGCTAGTAGATCGTATTAATTTAGTTTGACTTTGTCCGATGTATGGACATTTGTAAGCAAAAAATGACAGTAATTAAAATATTATCGACTTTAATTCATATTAGCAATAACTCTCATATCTTGTTATAAAAATCATTAACCTAATATATCTAAATTAGTAAATTTTGTATAAAAAAAATGATTTAGTACGCGCGAGTAATCACAAAAATATATAAAAGAAACATACTGAGAACATTAGGAAGAAAATCCGGCAGTGCCGGTGTATCGCAATACTAGCCTTATTAAAATATCAACGTTTATGTTCCCTCACTACATCTGACACAAGACTTTGTTACCAAAGTGCGCTTGCGTCAAATGATTCTAACTTATAATGTCTAGAAGTACTATCAGGTAATTTGGCGGTGTTCCACGTTCCATGTAAACACGAATCAAAAGCGTCATTGGGTTTAAAATATTTAACTCGCGCGTTCTATCTTATAGAATAACTACACTCAATGTCAAAATTATGTAGTACATTTAAAAAAAATCCAATTTAATCTAAAGTATCTAGTTACGAAATGAAAAATAACTTCAAAAAAAATGAGACCCATCTGCAAGCAAAACCTTTCGATCAAAAAAAAAATTCAAAATCGGAGCACCAGGAGAGGAGTTATGCAGTAGCACACATAAAAAAGAACTTATAGAAGAATTAACTATCGTCTTGGTTGTCCGGTTTTCCTTATTTTTTTATCGCTTTTGCGGGCAGATGACGTTCACAATTTTTTTATGTCACGATTTTTTATTCCAGAAATAGGAAATTTAAAAGTTTACTACATATTTTTGACGTGACACGATTGTACTCAATTTATACATATGTCACCGACAAATCGTATACGCCGCCCGTTTGTAATTTGCCCAAGCACGTACAGACTCAGTAAATTACATATCGAACGAATTGGTTCATAATTTGACGTATTCTACACTTTGCAAGATGGCACTTTATGAGCTTTATGACCTTTACAAATTGCCGTCACGTTCTGAATTTTTTATATATGCAATTTTACGAGTCTGCGATTTGACTAGGCAAATTATAAACTGGTGTACTGTCAGTGACGCATAAATAGTATATTTTGTGTATATCGCCATCTTGTCTAGTTCTTGATAGATTTTGTATAACGTAGTAAATAAGTCTATGTGAGAACAATTTTGTATTTGCTTTTATAATAAACTTTCCTGATATATTTTATTTATAATTTTATACCTTTAACAGAGATTGGCAGGAAAATTATGACAAATTGGCTTTTTCTTGATCCTCACAACGCAATTCCTTACATCAAATGGCCGCTTACAATAAACTTACACAAACATTTTCCTTCACTGTACTTTACTCTGGGTAAATTGTGGCCAAATATAAAAAAAAATCTAGTGAAACTAAATAACAAATTTGTAGTACACATTGTTACGAGTCCTATGAGAATCCTATGAGTCAAACAACCAGTGGTGAGGGCTGCAGAGACAGGAACCTTCTCACGATGCGTGCGGTTTCTTGGATAACTGCTTTTTGTATCGGGCACTTAATCCAACTGTGTAGCGAGAGCTTCTTGAGATGTTGGTCGAAACTCTTCGCTATCAGTCCATTTAGCGATACGACTATCGGAATAATGGTAGTCGATTTCATACGCCACATGGCGGTAACCTCGTGAGCCAAATCTAGGTATTTTAACAATTATTATTATTATCAATATAGTATGGGAGTGGATATCAATATGAACAAATTGTCGTCGGCCTCAGTGTTTTCCCAATATTTATGGCAGGACCTTGAAGACCAGAGTAGCATTGCAAAGGTTAAAAACATTACTAGAATTTTTGTCATGTTTCTATTACAATAGCATAGTTACAAAGCTATTATACAAGAATTAGAGAGAAGTTCAAAAATCTTAATTTTATATGTTACGTAATCGTTACTCATTTTTAGTTAATTTATAAAGCCATAACCTAAAGTTTTGTTTAAGTTAAATCAAAGTCCATGTCAATGAATGTCAAATGTATTGTTAACTTAATTATTATATTACAAACATCAATCATTAAGTTTCCTTATGAAACAGTACATTACACATTGTTATATAAACCAACAAACATTCCATTTTCCCTCTTTGTGAAAGCTAATATTGTACAGAAATAATAGAACAAAGAAGATTAAAATTGATTGATGTCATCATTTTGTCAAAATTGTCATGTTAACTTTGACAATGACAATGTTCAGTGTTATCAATAAATTATAAGAAACAATAAACACATCGGATTAACTGCGCAATAGCTTTTAATTTATGTAATATCAAATTGTAATTGCATTAAGATAACCTCAATATGACCGGAAGCAAAGAAGCAACTCGATCAATACATTTTCTTAAATAAATTGTCTATGAATTTCACGACTGCAAGAAATATAAAATTATTTTTTTAATTTTAATAAACTGTAATATCCGTTGCAAGACAAATCAAACTATTAAACGTTATACCCTAAACCTCAACATTCGTCGCCATTTCTCCTAAAATAACAACTTAAAATTGACGAAAATAACTCGCCTCCATCTTACCATAAAAAAGAAAATTAAAGTTTTATTGTCTATTATTCTTTTATTTTTCTGGCAGCACTGGAATCGATTTTGTCCTTCCTTAAAATCGATTAAAAATTTTCTGACCAAAATATTTCTTGAAATAACTTAAATGCCCGAAATCACTTGAACTCATGTTATTATTAAAACGATAAACAAGCTTTATCTTTGCTATTATTTTGTATAGTATCAAGTAAATTACATAACAAAATATCGAGTTACGCTATCCAAAATAATTTTTCGAGAAGGTCTATGTTTTACAACAAAAAACCCAACATTTTCTACAAGTCTTGTAATATAATTTTAATCCATTTGCTTTGTTTTTGAATAAGATATTTCTAAGCTGGAGGCTGTGAGTAAAACATAAAATAAAAAAAAAATCATATAAAATCAGTGCCTTGTTTCGGATACAAGCGTTTTTAACGCTTTTTGTATTTTATTTCTTTCTCCATTAATTTATCATCAAAAAGCATTGCACTTATGATATTGTTACTTCTCTGTACAAGTTTTGCAACTAACGAATAAAATAATTAGGTCAATCGACTCATATCAAATCGATGAAGCAACCCAGTGTTGCCATTTCGTATTTCAATACGCAATTACATCACCATTTCATGGCAGTGGCACGCATTTAAGACTTCGACTTTTCGTGACAGCATGTCATTTTCGACATTTGATTGATAATTTTCCAAAGATCCATCAAATTAGTTTGTTTGAAAGTTAGTTTAGGCGCTAAACTATAGTATTTTAATATTTCAAAGTATTAACAAGGATGTGATATATCGGACTCCATATTTGGAGGTCGCGGTTCTAGGCACCATAATGACCGCGCAAAAGTGTGTAGTTGAAGGCTGTAATTTAGAGTATGATGTGGTTTGCAGCTTTTCATTTTACAAGTAAGTGTTTTATTTCAATCTAATCACTTTAATCATTGTATTTCGTAAGTAGGTTAAAACCGACGCCTCCACCGCGTCCATCCTTTGACCTCCACGGCTAAAGTAAGCGCCAAATCAGCGTTATTTGTGGTATCTCGAATTATGTTCACACTGAATGTTTACATTACATTTTACCATAAAAACTTTTAGTTTCATGTATTTCAATAGCATTACAATAAGAAATCATAATTATAAAACCATTAAAACCATAAATGTTAACTCGCAATTATTCAATATTAACAAAAAATACAAAAAATAAGCATTTTAATTGAAAACATTAAATCATAAATATAACCCTTTTTCTCCTATAAATTGCACTAAAACTTAAATATTATTAAAATCCATAATTTTCATTATTGTTAAAATAAAAAAATCTTATTTCTATTTGAATTATTATATGCATGTTACATAAAGATCATATCATTAGCAAGAACTAGTGGTATCCTGCAATTCCATCCTTGCAAGATTAAAAAATAAATTAGTAGCCAGTGTTCTTCCAGACTAAGTTCTATATGTATGCCAAATTTCATCAAAATCAGCCTCAAGAGATTAGTTCTAGAGATAAGTGTTAGAGATTGTTCAGCCATTCTAGAGATACCTTCAAACAAACATCCATTAACTTTCACATTTATAATATTAGTAAGATAAATAAGTAGAAGATACATTTATATTTGAATTGTTACAACCACTTTATTATTGATTAATCTTATATACTACACTGTAGCAAACTTGGCATGTACTCAAAAATGCATTATGTATTAGCTAATGTAGATTTAAATTAATATCATAAAGTTAATAAAGAAAATCATAATAACTCATCATCATCAGCTCACTATACTCTGAGGGGCTTGGAGCCTACCCTAAGTTGAGGGTGATTAGGCCATAGTCAACCACTCTGGCCAAGTACGGGTTGGTTGACTTCACACATATCTTTGAATTACTTCTCAGATATGTGCAGGTTGTAACATAATAACTCACATAAATATAATGAACATAAAGTAGCCAATTTCATTCATGTAGATATAAAACGTCAAATCCTACAGAATCTTACATCTTACTAATATCTTAAATGCAAATGTTTAGATGGATGTTTGTTTGAAGGTATCACTAATTTGGCTGCATAGATCTTGCTGAAATTTGGCACAAATGTAGAATATAGTCTGGAAGAACACATAGGCTACTTATTAAGTTTCTTATTTTTAATTTGTGGATGTAGTCGCGGAAAACAGCTATTGTATTATAAATAAAAAGAAGAAGGATAAAAAAATCACAAACTAATTATTGGTTACCCCCAATTGCTAAACAGCTTCATATTTCCGTTCGTATTTCAAATGTTGATTGTTTTATTAACAAATAGTGTTAATTGTATGTTTTGTTTGTCAGTGTGAACACATCATCGGAAGGAGAAGGGCCGAGACAAGAATGGATCGAAGGGGCTATGCAGGAGGAGAGCGAGTGTCTCTGGAGACATGTCAGCCTGCAATTATGCGGGTAACTATTCATAAATAAAATATTCATTATCACAGGGGTTAAATCCTTGAATTGTAATCTGCAGGTCATGGGTTCGAATCCCCCCATGTACCAATGTGTTTGATTTACATATGTACATTTATTTGTTGTTACGGTGAAAGAAAACATCAAGATACTGCACATATCTGAGAAAGTCAAAGATATGTGAGAAGTCAACCCGCATTGTGCCAGCATTCACTATGACCTAGTTTAATTTATGGTAGACTCTGAGACCCTCAGTTGGTATGAATAGTGACCTGATGATGAAATAAATAAAATTTCTTAAATCTATAGGTATCATTTCGAAATGGATGCCCAAGGTTTATGGATCGACTCTCCGATGTTACCAGAGTTGTTGGCACCTCAAGAGCAAGCTGCACCGTTGGTACAGTCAGCCAGTGATAAGAAAGGTATGTCCCCTACCCTGTCAGTAGTGTCACAAGTATTTGTAGTTTTAATATCATATTAATCATTTAACTTTTTCACTGGTTCATTCATGGGGTAGTTGCTTACTGGTTAAGGGTTTAACTGTAGTATTTAGTTGGTTAATTTTTCTTGAACCCAGTTTAGTTGTTAGGGTAGGGCGATGTGAGCAACCGCCCAGGTCGCCGGTGATGTTAAAAACAGTCCTGGTCAAACTTTTAGCTACACAAGCAATTCTGAGTAGTAGTTAAGTTTTCAATGTAAAATAACTTTAGGAATATTTTTCGGTTTACTGCGTATGTTAAGTTGCTAGATGGCGCTTTTATAAATTTGATTTTTTTTTAATTTCTGTAGGTTTTGTAGGACGTAAAACAGTTTCTTTTTCATTTTTTTTAATGTGTACGTCGTAAAGTAGTATTCGTTTAATACGACATCGGTTAAAACGACATATCGGTTGACAAACGGATTTTAAGCAGTACATTCCGGTTATTACGACTTTGCTGGTCCCTTCGATGTCGTTGTAACCGGTTTCCGTAAGGTAGCAACACCCTGTATAAGGCAGTGGCGAGTGACGGGCGCTTGTTGCAGGGCCGGCGTCTGCGGGAGGCTTCCACGCTATTTACGAACAGTTCATACGCGGCCCGCCCAAAGGTAACCGCTATCTTATACAGGGTGACCACGTTACCATTATACAGGGGATTATCATATTGACATGTAACTTCTTTGTTCAATAAAAGTCATCCTATTTAGAACTGAACATCGTCAGTATCACACTTATACAGCGTGTTTTTATACAAAAAAGTCATTATATTTACAGTTAAACATCGTTCTGTGTCACAAATTATACAGGTGTTGTTTCTACTATAACAGTCATTTTATTTAGAATTAAAAATAATTCTTTAAAACACTTATACAGGGTGTTCTTTCTACTATAACAGTCATTTTATTGAAAATTGAAAATAATTCTATAAAACACTTATACAGGTTGATGTTTTCGTTACGGCAATATTTAAAGAGTTCATTGTAGTTGTAAAATATATTGTAGAACTTTAATACCGCGATGTACATTATTTTTTACAGTTGAAACTGTTTACTATAACATCGATTAAAACTAAATATCGGTTAGAGTAACATAATGAATAATACGCAAAAGACAAGCCTGAAATTCCGCATTTCGTTTGATGAGTTAGTCATCTTTTCGTTCCCACCCTTTTGTTATAGTATGGAAAGGGGAAGTGGATTTGGCGGGGAAGGGGCAGGGACAAATTATCCTCTGTATGTGCGTCCCTTGCTCTGTCAATTAAAGATAGACATGGCATTTGCGGACGTGTTTTCGTCAGCTTCGCTATTTCGACGAATTCAAGCAGCCGCTTGCTTGTATGCCCATCTCATAATATAAATTATTTACACTCAATATTACTAGTAATTTCAATGGTCGTTATAACCGTTTTTTTCCGTATTGTTGATTTTTAATGAATTATCATGTATCTCCCTAGCTGCTGATATAATTCGTATGGAACATAACTACAGCGTGGATCCGCCGAAGAAGGAACCCCAAGAGAATATAACAAGACTCAACGTACGACAACTAGTTGATACATTGGGATATTTGTGAGTATATTATGCAATTATTTACTGTTAGGAAGAAAATCCGACAGTGCCGGTGTATCGCAACGCTAGCCTTATTAAAATATCAACGTTTATGTCCCCTCACTACATTTGACACAAGACTTTGTAAGGAAAGCGCGACATTCACGTCAAAGGATTCTGACTAATAATGTCTAAAATTACATAGTCAAAGAGTTAAATTTCCTACCCACTAATGAGTATGTACAAATGTATGTTTATATCGACTTAATTGTAAGTTTAAAATTAATAACTTAAATTAGGTATGAAATCCTAAAAATCACGGGCTTTAATATCACAATTTCAGACCGATAACGTACGTAACGATACGTAAATGTAATGAGTAAATTAATAATATGAAAATTACTATTTTGTACTAGAAAAATTCATGTGGTTTTAGTAGTATACAGGGGAGGGATAGTCTCTCTCCCCTGTATACTTAAAATCAAAGAAGGGTGTCAAGACTAACTAAAAAAATCCTCACATGACTAATAGAAACTCGTAATTGTGGTTGTATATTGTCAAATTCGAAGCGTCAATAGCCTATTAATTAAGGGCACGGATTTCTGATCAAGTGGCCGGGGGTTCGAATCCCGCGATTCGACTATTGTAAACCATATCCTAGTAAGCATTAACAAAAATCTAATAATATAAAAAATTAAATTACCCTTTTCAGATCCCTTAAGAATCTGCAACGAAAGCAACTGTGGGTTGTGAAGGTGGAATCAGACAAGACAGAAGCCTCCATCACTCAATCAGAGCAGGTCATCACCAAGATGACAGATACTAAGCAGGTCATTGAGGTAAATGACACAATGACAATCACATCACACACATATTACTTCAGTCCTGGTCATAATGGAATTGACAAACATACATCAAAATATGCAGTCTAGTCTTCTACCCTGTCACACATTTTTGTTATAAAGGATGGGTAAAATACTTTAGTAATAAAGATAGATAGGAAAGGAAAATATTCTCTCTTCTATCAAATAAGAAAGATTGCTGTTTTGTGACATGTTAGTACAAAATAAATCTATTTTTGTTTTTTCAGACTTACTTTTAACTATAAACTACTTTTGTCTGTACAAAATTATAAAAAAACTTAATTAGTAGCCTATGTGTTCTTCCCGACTATGTTCTATATGTATGACAAATTTAATCAAATCCATTAAGCCATTCCGGAGATATCTTCTAACAAATCCATCCAAACATTCATCATTATCATCATCAGCTCACTATACGTCCCCACTGATGGGCTCTGAGACTACCCTAAGTTAAGGGTGATTAGGCCATAGTCAACCATGCTGGCCAAGTGCGGGTTGACTTCACACATATCTTTGAATTTCTTCTCAGATATGTGCAGCATCACAATGTTTTCCTTCACCTTAAGAACGTCGGATAAATGTACATATGTAAATTTTAAATCGAAAAACACATTTGTATATCTAAACATTCACATTTATAATATTAGTAAGATTAGAAATAAATTTTCAGATATTGCCAAACACATCGACCACAACGGAACCTATTGAGAACCAAAGCGAAGTCCTTCATATAATAGACGATGCTAATATATCGGATAATTTCATATACGAAATAGCTGAAGAACAAGAAATAACAATGGAGGAGGTGAAAGAAATTCCAATAACACAGAACCCGGAATGGAGAGTGAACATTTTACCCGAAGAATCTAAGCCAAAGTATGCTTATATAAAACATTGTAATACAGGAAAAAAAAAAAGACATTTCACAGCAGACATGAATGAAATAACACTGCAAGGTGATTTTGAAAATTATTATATTTTACCCGATGTTGACCCATCCGTAGGTGTAGAAATAACCACAACATATGATCCGGAGAATTACATTGTAGAAGAATATGAACATCTAGTGCTAGAAAATAGAAATAGAAAGAGGGCTAAAGAAGAGAGCATTAAGAGAAAGAAGAAAAAACTGCAGTCCGTAAGAGACCAAGTCAAACAGATTCAGATCAAAACTGAAATGGGTGATTGGTCTATCGATAGCAGTTATGACCAAGATACATCAGATGATTATGATGATAAAAAGGCATCTGCAAGAGTTAGACGAAAAAATAAGAAATATCTAGGCTATGATTTTGTTACCTAGCCGTTGTTATTTTGATGATTTACATATCGGTATAAGTTTTCTGACAAATATAATTTGACTTGGTACCTAAATTCAAAGAAAGGAACACTTCAAATTCCATAATCAAAAGTGACTCAAAGTTGGTTGCCTCGGGGACAAGAGATTGCCAAAGTCGCCTGCCCTATGCCTGCCAGTCCAGCTGGCTGGAGCTGGACTAGCTTTGCTTGGCCGCCATCCGCCATCCTCATAAAGTTGCCCAGACATTGGAGTGTGTGGGCTTTGGCTTCTCCGATGTAATTCAACCATAAATAGTGGACAATTTGTTTACAGTTTTTTAACTATTCAGTGAAAATTGTGTGAAAAGTGATTGTGAAATTATTAGTGCTGATCTAATTGGAGAAAAAGTGTCATCAGAAAGTTACTCGGAGATAGTGTTGTGCTGTTTTGTTAACATGAAGTTTGGATTTTACTAACCCAACAGGCTTTAACGGTAAGTACTAATAAACAAATCATTAAGTGTTATATGTTTAGTAGCGACATGTTTGTCACAAGATCCTTGTCAGTCTGTCTTTGGTTTTATGTCAGTGTAGGACGTATTTTGTGACGGAACTAAATTTATCGTAGTGTTAGGTACCATGTTATTATGTTTTGTCTACAGGTTAAAATTAGATCAAGTGACTTGATTAGTTTTATTATGACTTTCCTATTTTAAGTTTTTTTTTGGAGATATAATTATAAAGTAATGGATTTTGTAAAACAGTTAAAGATTTTCTTTTGGAAAGTTTCTTAATTTTCCGAGTAATTTCATTTCTCTGACAAAGATTGGTATTTCTTCCTTTTTATTACTCTAATAGTATCTTATATTATAAAGTTTTCTCTTATTAATAGTAATTCGGAGTTCTTGATTAAGTTTACAGTAAAAATATATTTACAACGATTTGTTTTACTTAACTGGTAGTTAAAATTTCATCTTAACACAGTATTGAAAAAATTGGTTAAATTTTCGATATAAGTTTGGTGCTGGCACCAAATTTTCTTCATGATTTTTTTTCACACTACCTAGTAATCTTAAAATTTTGGTTCAAGTGTAGGTAGTTTTTGAGTTTATTCAAAAGAATGTAATTTTATTATCAGTAAAATTTTCATTCATTAATGTAATATAATTCATCCTTTTCTTCTTAAAAAGTACATTTTAGTAATTATAGGAATTTTCTTTTTTCGAAAATATTTCAATTACGTTATGAACGAATTTTTCTTCTAATTTTAGTATTTAATTTCATATAAAAAATCCTTAAATCACGTGTTTAATAAAAAAAATATTTCGCATAAAAAATCTTTAAAAAAACCTGTAAAACGAAATCTTATACCATATGTTAAATCATACATGTGAACATTACTGAAACGCAATACAAAAAAAACGCTTCGCCATTCCGGCAAATTCAGGTGGTTCGCCATTTCGGCGAATTCACGTGGCCGCTTGCTCATTTGCCACGTTATAAAACTTATTATAAAATGTTCCAGTAGTGGAAATATGTATATTATCGCTGCATATTTTAATAAAAATTAATAAAATCTTGAAAAAAAAAATGGGTATGTATTAAATCCCACTTATAGGAGATTTTTTGCTGATATTTAACGGTCATGTGCCTATTAGCCCACTTATGGGCATTTTAAATGCACTTTTTTATATCAATCCTTCCCCAATATCCCCTAAAAGTGGATAAACTATCAGATTTTTTGTCGAAATTTGAAAAAAAATCTCGTTTAACATCAAACTTTGAATAAAATCTTCATCATTTGACAAAAAATTTGATAGTTTAGTAAAAAAAATTAAAAATTGTGTTAATATAAAAGAAAATAGATGTATTTTTTTGTTGTTAAGGAACTTTGCAAGAATAGAATTTAGTCCTATTTCAAAAGGACAAATTTATCTCGCACTTAGTAATAATGTAACCTGAGGGTCTAGACAAAGTGCATTCGAAACGAATCCATAGCGAACTTCATAAATTACATACATTTACTGAGGCGCGACAATCACATTACTTATCCAAAGTTATTGCCAGTTCTATACATTATTGAAGTTCGCTATGGAATCACTTAGAAGCGAAAGCACTTTGTCTAACCCCTTTAAATGAGAAAAATCTAGCAAGAGTCATTGTCAGGTCCCGACGGGCAACCTCTATAAGCGAGAAACTCTTTAGAGAGAAAACTCTATAAGCGAGAAACACTGTCTCTGGACTCTCGCTAATCAAAGTTAGTCTTGTATATATTTATTTGTGGTTATAAATAATTTCTTGGCATATTAATATTACGATTATAATAAAAAACAATATTTCTTTGAATGAAATTGCTGTTATAAGAAATTGGTTCTTTAATTCCACAATATGACAAATTTTACTAAGAAATCTGTATCAGTAAGTTTTTTTAGTAAATCTCCGCTAAGGGATCAAGTCTCCTTAGTGTTTTTTCGTCTTGCAAAGTTTCCTCTAGTATCCGGGTTACGGAATCATGTATTATACTAATTAAAATAAAAAAAAGTTAATTATATTTAGGTATTTGATAATTTGTGTTTTTTAAGCTCTTCACACATTGTTCGGTTTATTATATTAAGATATATAAATAAATAAAAAAAAACATTTTAAGTTATATTGTCTCGTTTTATTTCATATTTCCTTGATCCAGTGAAATAATCAATATAAAATGTGTCAACGACATCTTTTCTTCTAAAATTAACCCTAGATTTCTCATAGTTTACTCAACTTTTGATTTTTTCATAGCATTTCGCTAAAATGGCGAAGTTAATTATCTACAACTAGTGTTGCATTACTGGACAGAGAAGGGGACAATAATGAGGATATTTCACATTTGTGATAGTCCCCTCCCCAGTGTCTCCAGGGAAGAGGACTGGCAGAAAAAACTACAATAGTAATATTAATAATCTGCTGCAGTATTCGCGAGATAATCTCTTCTTCCGATGTTTGAAGCTTGCTTGTTCTGTACCGCCTCCAGTTTGGGACATTCTGTAATTTAAAAAAAAAAAATATGACACTCTTTGTAAGAATAGGAATCGAATGACACCTCACTTGTCAATATCTGTTCACTCGTTTAAGATATAGGGTGTTACAAAAGAATTCATACAGTCGAACCTAGAATAGCGAGAAACATGAGTGAGTTTTTGTCCTTTCTCAACTCCATAAGGAAGAAACTCTAAGAGAGAATGCAAGAACTTAGGGAGAAACTTCTAAAAGTGAATGAATTATCACCTTTTGACTTTTGCTTATCCAAATTCGTCTTAAAGGTTTTTAGTGTAAATTTTTATATTTTACGTCTAGAAACCACGATTCTTTGTATTTTAGTATATCTTTTATTAGAATATAGATGGCGCTGTAATAAAATGTACCTGTAATCCTGTGCCCGAGGCCCCCGCAGTATGAACAGCCTTGCCCATCAGCTATAGGCACGTCTGGTTCACCGATCATGTCCAACAGGAATGAAGGTACCTAAACAAAATATGTTTTATAATTATTTATGTAGGAAATCTTTGTATGCATCAATTTTCTTTACAAACTGTCAACATGTTAAATTAAAACAAATTATTGTAATTCTAGAAATGCTATTTAAATTACACAGGCGCTGATTATAAATTATTGTCTCCAAAAACTGATTCATTTTGTAATTGCTATTAAAATAACAAAGGCGCTATCTTTTAGAGAGAAATAATTCATTGCTATTTAAATTTCACAGGAGCCTCAATATTTCTAAATAGTTCTATTATATGTTTCATTGCTATTTAAATTTCGCAGGCGCTTTACAATTCTAGAACTAAAACTTCTGTTACCTTCTGACCAGCCTCCCGCAGCAGATGTACAAGATCTCTTAGAACACTATCATCAGCTGCGCGACCGAGCAATGTAGTCGCGACACCCTCACCAGCAGCTCGTCCAGTACGTCCAATACGATGTACGTAGTTTTCTATATCTTCTGGCATATCGTAATTTATCACGTGCTGGATGTTAGCGAAGTCGAGACCTAAAAATAATGATTTCTTTGATAATAGATGGCGCTGTTTTCAATCTTTTATTGGCAGATGGCAAACAAGTAGGCTTTGTTTAAATTCGCTAAAATAGCGAAGAGACATGCCTATATACATACGCAATTGCATATGCGTTGCCTAAATTCAATCGACAGAGAAGACGCACAGAAAGAGAATATATTCCCTTACCATGCATCATCCGGAAAATCCACTTCCCATCTTTTACTTTTAAGAAAAGGGGGTAGGTAGAGAAAGAGGATTAAAACTAGACTTAAAATTAGATTTTGCATATGATAATTACCTTTACTGGCCACATCTGTAGCAACCAATACATCTTTCTCTCCTCGTCTGAATGCTTCTACAGCACGAGATCTCTCCTCCTGGTCCTTACCACCATGGATGGCCACAGCTTCCACACCTAAATGAGATTCATCTTACTAATATAAATGCGAATGTTTAGATGTATGTTAGAAGATATCTCCAGAACATCTGCGTAGATCTTGATGAAATTTGTCATACATATAGAACATAGTCTGGAAGAACACATAGACTACTAAATAAGTTTTTTTTTAAAGAACTTTTTAAAAACAAGCTTTGAAACGAAGAAGTGGATTTTTTTATTTACAATTTATGACAAACTAAAATTGGCAAATATAGTTTTTTACAAATAAAGTAACTAAAATTGATCTTTTTTAATAAAATTAGTTAAACATCAGTGGCTCAATGGTTAAGCAGTTGACTCTGCAGGTCCTGGGTTCGAATCTCGTCATGTAGCAATGTGTTTTCACATATGTACATTTATCGTATGTTGTTAAGGTGAAGGAAATCGTGATGCTGCACATATCTGAGAAAGTCAAATGTGTGAAGTCTTGCACTGGACCAGCATTCACTATCACATACTCTCACTTAGGGTAAACTCTACCCTCAGTGGAGTTTAATGACCTGATTACCTTTAAGTAATAAATACTCATGAATAGCATCCACATCTTGTTTCCTCTCAGCAAAGACGAGAACTGGAGGTGGTGTCTTCTGGAGACACTGGAGTAGATGTACAGTCCTGGCTTCAGCCTTCACTGGTTCCAGTTCCTGGCGTACATTCAATGAGGCAGCACCAGCTCGACCCACATTCACTGTCACTGGCTTCACCAAAGCTGACCTGATGATAAAAATCTTACTAATATTATAAATGCGAATGTTTAGATGTATGTTAGACGATATCTCCAGAACAGCTGCATGGATCTTGATGAAATTTGTCATAGATGTAGAACATAGTCTGAAAGAGCACATTGGCTACTAATCTTTCACCAAATCATGTTATAAAGTCTTCTTTCCCATATATTATAAGGGAAGGATGGGAAGGGGAAGTGTATTTGGCTAAGGGGACATAGGCAGGGGAAATAACGTGTCTCTTTACGTCGTCCCAATCTCTGTCGATGTAAAATCAAGGCATCTGCAATCTCAGATATCTATGAACTTTCACTTCGCTATTTCGGCGAATATAAAGAAAAGTTTCGATATTTTCTTACCTAGCGAAATTCTGTATCTTCCTAGGCATTGTTGCACTGAAAAGTAAAGTCTGTCTCTGACCAGCAAAGTAGGAGAATATTGTTCGAACATCTTCTTCAAATCCCATGTCTATCATGCGATCAGCTTCATCCATACAGAGATAACGACATACATTGAGACGTACCTAGTTACAGAGAGATGCACTAAAAGTATTTAACAGTGGTAGAGCCCGCTTTAACATGTTCGCACGAATTGTCCTCGCTCAGTGAAATACCACGACCACACAGAAGACACGCCTCAAGTGCGAAGCTATTCCAACTACACTCTGATGAGTGTGCGTGTCGGAGACCTAATTTAGTCCTCTTTCCCTTCCCGCACTCTTTCTTATAAGGAAAGGATGGGAAGTGTAAGTGGACTTTCTGAATGAAAGGATCTATGGAAAGGGAAAATATTTTCTTTCTGTGCATCCTCTCCTCCGTCGATTAAAGGTAGGCAACGCATATGCAATTGCGTATGTCTATGGGCAACGGTCACTTCGCTATTTCAGCGATTTCAGGTGGTCGCTCGCTCGTTTGCCACCTTACGATAAAAAAAGAGGGAGAGAGACTGGCTAAGATAAATGATGACACATCATATACTAACTGTGCCCGCGACTTTGTCCGCGTAAAATTCTGTATTTGAGTAGCATTTTAATTACTCAGACTAAAACATTTACAAAAATCACACATATTCTAAAACTTTCATCCCCTATTGTTATTTTACACCCTTGAGGGTGAATTTTTACCAACAAATTTCATATTTAAATTAAATTAACAACCCCAAAAGTAACCAAGCTTCTATCTGTAATGTTCATACGATACAAATTACCAACCCCCATTTCAACCCCTTACAACCCTTTTTTCGTATTAAAAAGTACCCTATATTCTTCCCCAGGTACTAAACTATATATGTACCTAATTTCATTTAAATCGGTTCAGTAGTTTTTGTGTGAAATAAACACAAACATACAGAATTTCACATTTATAATATTAGTAAGGTTTTTTTTTATCTTACCATTTTCTTATCTAACATGTCCATTAATCGTCCGGGTGTTGCCACCATGATGTGGACACCTCTTTGTACCACCTCCATACATTCTGACACCGCAACACCTAACCAAAAATAACTAATAAAAAGATCTAGACTGTCACAAAGTGTGAGATAACGCCCCCTTGTGGGCTGCAGGCGTCAAGTTGCGGGTTATAGTAAAACGTTTCGTTTACAATTCTCCGTTAATATACATATATATGTCACAATAATTAATTAATTTAATTTGAAGTTATAGTGGTTTTTAAATATGTGAAAATATGGGGGCGCTAAAAAATGTTTATTCTCAAAGTGGGCAGTAGACGAAATAAGTTTGGGAACCACTGATCTAGACAGACAGACGGACAACAAAATGATATTGGTTCCGTTTTGTTCCTTTCAAGATTCAAACGAGTGTAAACTTGATGTGGTTATGTTGTGAAGTTGTTATGAGGATGTAGAAGCTGCATCATCAGATCAGCTCCGAGAATTCACACAAAATTTCACAAACTTCCTTCATCATCAGCTCTAAGTCCTCACTGAGGGTAGAGTCTACCCTAAGTGAGAGTATGTGATAGTGAATGCTGGTCCAGTGCAAGACTTCACACATTTGACTTTGTCAGATATGTGCAGCATCACGATGTCTTCCTTCACCGTAACAACATACGATAAATGTACATATGCATATTCGAACCCAGGACCTGTAGAATGCAAGTCAAGTGCTTAATTACTGCTTACCCCCAATCGCTAAACAGCTTCGTATTTCAGGGTTGCCACATAACTTTAAATGTCTGACAAAATGTTGTATAATATCGAATGTTTGCTTCGCAAGTTCACGTGATGGACAAATAATAAGACCATATGGTCCTTCATTCCTGGAAAACAAAGTATTCACTTGCAATTCCAAATGACTATGGTTCATCATCATCAGCTCACTATATGTCCCCACTGAGGGCCTATAGTGAGCTGATGAGCCTACCTTAAGTTAAGGGTGATTAAGCCATAGTCAACCACGCTGGCCAAGTGCGGGTTGACTTCACACATTTGACTTTCTCAGATATGTGAAGCATCACGATGTTTCCCTTCACAGTAACAACATACGATAAATGTACATATGTAAATCGGAAATGGAAAAACACATTGGTACATGGCGGGATTCGAACCCAGGACCTGCACATTGCAAGTCGAGTGGTTTAACCTTTGAGTCACTGACGCTCCGGTTACTTAAAACTCAGCTAAGACTGGTAACTTGAATTAAAAAAAATCTAGTAATTAGAATAGAATTTTAAAAAAAAGTAATTAGTAATGTGTTCTTCAAGATTATGTTCTATATGTTTGTCAAATTTCATCAAGATCCATGCAGCCGTTCTAGAGATACCTTCTAACATCCATCCATCTAAACATTCGCATTTATAATATTAGTAAAAATTTAGATATAAGAATGAATGTATGGATGCAAGTATGTTAATAGATATCTCCAAAATGGATCCACAAATCTTAGTGGAATTTGTCATACATATAGAACATAGTCTGGAAGAACATATAGACTATTAATCTAGTTTTTTTATGTTACGTACAGAGTCGCAGTCTACAGCTAGTCACTTACCTTATGAAAGGCATTTTAATCTCTTGTTCCAAACACAACATTATTATAGGCAGGATGAAAACTAAAGTCTTTCCGGAGCCAGTGAAAGCTATTCCAATCATGTCTCTTCCGCTGAGTACAGCCGGGATACCTTGAACTTGTATTGGTGTAGGTTTCTTTATACCTTTTTCTTCAAGACCTCTTAAAATACCTGTAAAAAAACAAAAAAAAACAATTAGTAGTCCATGTGTTCTTCCAGCCTATGTTCTACATCTATGACAAATTTCAACAAGATCCATGCAGCCGTTCTAGAGATATCTTCTAACATACATACATCTAAACATTCGTATTTATAATATTTGTTTTTTTTTTATAACAGAAGGGGGCAAACAAGCAGCGGAAACACCGAGGTGTTCAACGACGCCCATGGACATCAGAAAAACCAGAGGAACCGTAGCGTCGCCGGCCTTTGAGATGGTGATAAGCTCGCTTCTTGAGGATACCTTCTTACCTTGATTGTTAGAAGGTATCTCCAGAACGGCTGAACTGAACTCAATGAAATTTGGCATACATATTTCATCATCATCAGCTCATTATATCCCCACTGAGGGGCTCAGAGCCTACCCTTAGTCACGGGTGACTAGGTCATAGTGAATGTTGGCCCAGTGCATGACTTTACACATATCTTTGACTTTCTCAGATATGTGCAGCATCACGATGTTTTCCTTCACCATGACAAGATAAATGTACAAACATAAATTGAAAAACACATTGGTACATGGCAAAATTCGAACCCTGGACCTACAGATTGCAAGTCAAGTGCTTGACCGCTGAACCAATGATGCTCATATAGAACATAATATAGAAGAACACATAGACTACTAATTATGTTTTTATAATACCGCACAGACGGAGTCGCGGGCAAACGCTAGTTATAACTAAAAGCTGTACAAATACATTTATTTTTATTACCTTTAGGGAATTTCATATGTTGGAACGTCCTAATAGGTGGTGGAACATCTTCTCCTTCTACTAATATCCTAAGCTGCTGTCTGATCTGATCATTCTTCTCCGGAGGTCTATCCAATATTGAACGAGGTGGTCTCCATGATGTCTTTATTGGTTCCTCATATTGAATACCTAAACAAAGAACAAGTCTAATATAATTAAAGAATTTATAAGAACGGAAAGGTATGTTTAGGCAAGCCTAGGTAAGCGAGATAACTCTATATGTGAGAGTCTTTGTCCTGTGTCGACGAACAACCTCAATAAACGAGAAACTCGGGTTAAAGAGAAACCTCTATAAGCAAGAGTCTGTCTGGTCTTAATATGAAGCATGAAACTTGATTTAGAAAGAAACCTCTATCAATTCAATTAACAACATGGCTGTCACTTGGTATCACTCAGCTCAGAGGAGCTCAAAGCCTAACCTAAGTTAGGGGTGACTAGGCCATTGTCAACCATGCTGGCCAAGTGCGGGTTGGTTGACTTGACACATATCTTTGAATTTCTTCTCAGATATGTGCAGGTTGCATCACGATGTTTACCTTCACCTTAAGAACCTCTGATAAATGTATATATGTAAATTGGAAATCGAAAAACACATTGGTACAAGGCAGGATTCAAACCCAGGACCTGCAGATTGCAAGTCAAAAGCTTGACCCCTGAGTCACCATTGCTCTTCTATTCTAACATTACCTTTAGCCAATTCAGCAACACCCATCAAAGCTTTGCTTTGTGCAACACTTTCTAGTATATGCTGTTCTTCTCTTGCTTGTCGTTCAGCTGCGGATAGCGCTCTGGCCTCCGCTAACCTCTTCAACTCACTGTGCTGGTCCAATAATGAGACATTGTATCTACGACCCCATTCCTCTTGAGATGCTGGAATTTATATAATTTTTTATGTATTAAGTTGTACTGATTGAAGGAAAATCTCTATATTATTTGGACGTAGAGAAGACAGTGTATCACAATAACATTTTCATATTAATGTAAAAGTAAAATTTAGGTTTTTAAATAATATGTCAATGATTTTTAAAGGTACATTGAAAAAGGATTTGTTATACTCAGACGTTTAGGAAGTCCCTTAGTCTTGAATCGTACCAAAAGCAACAAAAAAGAACTTCTTTACAGACCTTTTAATGAACCTAAGTGTTTTCTGTATTTACCCGCGTTTATAATTACAAAATAATTACCTTCATCATCCAAATCATTGTCACTAGAGCTCTTAGTTTCCGCCGCGGCTTCAGCAGCGACTTGTCCGAGCCGGCCAAGCTTTAATAGTTTCTGTTTCTTACGTTCTTTTACCGGAACATAAGGTTCATAATTATCAATTTCTTCCTCAGACTCTGAAGATTTTTCATCGCGCCTGTAACGTTTTATAGGCGGAGCGACGTCCGCTTTTTCTTCTGACATGTTAAGGGATTTATTTATAAGTTATTTTTCATGTTTTATTACTTAAAAGCAAGTAAATACAAATCGTAACTTATTCAATTTGACAGTAACATTGACAGCAAATACCAAACAATTTGATTTTTATTTTATGACCTGGTAACATAGACATTTAGGTCAAATACCAAACAACCAAAAAGAACAGCTTAAAAATACCAAGTAGCTTAAGCTTTTAAACTTTTTATAGGTTTCGATTTTTATTTCCTTTCTATATAATTTCACATCATGCATTTCCAAAAATTTTATAATTACGAGATTTAGATAAACGAACATAATATTTATAAAGTTTTGTTCATGTTTGACACCCTATTTTTTCCATTGTGCAAAAGCACGATAGTAAAATAATATAGAAGTTTTAATGTTCTCATTAATTAGTCAGGGTTCTTTTATAAACTTTTTATTTGCAAACAGTGCTTCTCTTATACAGCTTTGTAGAATATACAAATAAATGGCGATTAGAGTTATTCTTTTTTTACATTGATGAAGGGTATTATATCAAAGGGTATAAATATGAAACTATATAACTTAGTCCATAAAAGGCCGTAGAATGGCATCGGTTCGTCAAAGCTAGATTTAACTCATTTTATAGTTGTATTTTACATTGTCTCTTTAACATTTCAAGGATTACTGGGATAGTTACATAAACTTTTTTAAAACATGTCCATAATACACCAGACTAGATGAATAATTAATTTAATCAATTCCGAACGATTGACATTTTGTCAATGTCAAACCAAAATATGCAAGTGACACGTAATTCTCAATAATTTAATTTGTTTTTTGTGTGTTTCCAAATGTGAAAATTCGCGAAAATTTCGCATAAAACTGTTAAATTATAAAACGCGGAAATGTCCGATAGAGGCTTTGGTGATCAGGCTTCAAGGAATGTGGTGAAAAATCCACTATTGTCTACAGCCGTGATTGGTGTCTCTTTAGAAGATTTGACGCATAATGCAGTCCTATTGCCCGCCGTTCCGAACCAAGAACTGATCACAAGACAAGGTGAGTTCTATTTTCATCATAGTATGTTGTGTAAAAACGTTCAACCTTGACCTAAGCACGAAAATATTCATAGAAAAAAAATGTTTTATTCTTACGGTACAACTGTCAGTTTTCGCGAAATAGTCGAAATATGGCGTAGTTTCGCAATTATATCGACATATAATGATTTTCGCGTTGATAATATATCTTTTGGATATAATTTCACGTGGGTGATTTGTGTTTTCGTTCAAATAACTAAATTATCTAATATTTATTTTGTTAAATACCAATCGATATGTCGTCATTTCTATACAAGACATGTAAAAACGCTCCGTTTAAAAATGGCTTCGTACCTGAATTTAATATTTCGAAAAAATTCAGTTGTGTGGGACAACTATTTGATGAAATACTAGTAAGTAACTAAATTAGTACAGTGAAATGTTTTATTTTCATTTGCACTTCATTTAAAGTAATTCTTTATTTATTTATTTCTTCTCATTATGATGTTAATTTCAATAGTCAATAGATTTTTCCTACAAAACATCTAAATCAAAGGCCTAAATTAAATAAACAAAGGAATGTCAAATTACTTATTTCAGCCATTTTGATATTTTACATTGCAGTTACTTGTGCAAATTGTGTGATAAAATGTAGCAATATTGTAAAATAAGGGTACCTAATTCATAGAGTTATATGAAAGAAAGAGTTTTACAAGAAATATTTTAGAATTTACGAATTTTATCATAATTTATCTATGGTTATAATTCAGTGTTAATTTTTTTATCATGTCTTGGAAGTAGGGTTAGTGTCTGGTATGCGGCTATAAAAAAATTAAGAGAAATTAACATTTATAAAATCCCATGCACCAAACCTATGTGAGTGAGATAAGGTCAAGGATATTTTAGTGTGAATTGTCTATGATTAATGCTTTAGCTTTGGAACTGACAGTAAAAATTGATTGATCCATTTATTGACTCCAACTTAATAATAAAATAATCTTTTAAGGTTCCACCCTTATAGAGTCCGTCCGTATATGTCCTTATGGGATCACTTTGTCTGTCCGTCTGTCTGTCAAGATCTTTTATTTTTGTATTATAATTGCTAATTAGAGAAAGATATCTTACTTCTTACTTATAAAAGCGAATGTTTGGACGGATGGATATTTGTTAGATGATATCTCAAGAACGGCTCAATGGATTTCGATGAAATTTAACACAGATGTAGAACATAGTCTGGAAGAACACATAGGTTATTAATTTTTTTTAGACAGTTATAAAATAAATGAATTGAAACAAAGTTAATTTGTTTATTAAAATAATAATACATAAAAATTATTTATGGCTCAAAACTTAATTCTAAATTCAAACGTAAACAATTGTACTACCCGTATTAGTGACAAATAGCTTTAGAACGAGACATTTAAGATATTAATAAACAGGACATTACACCAATCCCATCATCAACCTGCCGCTATCACTCCAGAATACGCACATGTACACCTCCATACATCTTTATCATCTTCATCTGAATGCACCTTCTTCTTACGCATCCCTACTTTTTTGAACATTACACCAATGCATTCAGAAATTAATTATATAGTTTCTGCTTTATAGTTTGACACACTGGTATCGGTTTTATGAGGAGGGAAGGATGATGTGGCAAGGAGATAGTAGTATGAGTGTGGAAGGGTAAACCGGTAGAGCCTAGGAAGAGAAAGGTGTGACATTTCAGATGACAGTAGTTAGAATGGAGGATGGAAAACTGATTATGAATTCGACATATTCATTTGTGAGAAATATGCAAATTGCTTTGAATATATAAAGGAAAGGTAATGTCCAAATTATGACACACAGAAGACAGGCGTGAAGTGGAAGCAATTCCGCGTTTCGTCTGATGAGTGTGCATCCCGGAGGCCTTATTTAGTCCTCTTTCTCTTCCCACCCTTTTTCTTATAAGGAAAGGATGGGAAGTGGAAGTGGACTTTCCGGAACAGAGGATGCATGGGAAGGGAAAATATTAGGCAACGCATATGCAATTGCGTATGTCTATGGGCAACGGTCACTTCGCTATTTAGCGATTTCAGGTGACTGCTCGCTTGTTTGCCATCTTATGATATACTAAAGAAATGAAGTGATTTAACAGTCATTTTTTTGTGTTGTGATTGTGAATTTATCAACTTAATTAAACTTAGGTAACTATTAATATGAAAATAATTATAATTAAAATGGAATTTATTAAATTAAATACGTATTAATATGAAATAAATCAAAAATATAAATTCTATTGTGTAACTTATATGACAATTAGTGACTTAAAATAATAATTTTCCTTAATTAAATTATTTATAAATAAATTTGTGGATTCTAAAATAATTATAATCTAAAGACGTATTTTATTATCGTATCAAGAAACGAAAAATTACGTAAAATACCGTATCAAAGATATACACAAAAAAATCTATTTAAAAACAAAAAATTTACTGGTACATTAATATTATAAAAAGATTGTCCTAAACATAGTAATATAAACTTATCTGTTCAGGTAAGAGAAGCTTCTATTTTGGTTATGCGTAATACTTTCTTGATATTGAGGGGCGCTAGTGTGCTGTAAATTTTTTTCACATATGACCACAGATTATTATGGCTGTCTTTATTTTTATTTCCCCCCATTTTTTAAGTGCTTTTTTTTTAAATAATTTTGTAGTTTTTATAATACATTTAATTATTATGTTTCTATTTTTTTTAATATGGCAATTATTTTTATTATGCTGTCAGTAGAAATTTTAATTTGAATAACATCGATATATAGTAACTAATTTAATTGTTTAGTCATATTTTTTATGTGTATATGTCAGCTTTATGAATGTGTTTATATACTTGTGCCTGCGACTTTGTCTGTGCGAAATTAAAAATAAATTCTATTAATAAAGCCTATGTTACTAAGTTGTGATGTCTCTTTTTAGTTGAAAGAAGAAATTTAGCATTAAAATTGATTTTGAGTTTATTCTTTATGTATAAAATACAAATTTGTCATCTTTATAATATTATTTGAAATAAGAAGCTTGTATACAACTGCAGTTTCAAAATTTGTACTCATCTGTATGTTTTTAATACATATTTATGGATAATTGTATACATTTTTGTATACAAATTACTAAACGTTGAAAAATCTCACAAATATTATAAATGCGAAAGTTTGGATAGATGGACGGATGGATATTTGTAACAATGTATCTCCCGAATGTCTCAACTGATGATAAAATGGCACAGATGTAGAAAATAGTCTGGAAGAACACATTTGCTATTAACTTTTTTTTTAATTCCGTACAGACGGAGTCGCTGGCCTCAACTAGTGTATATGCAGCTGACCGTACTTAAACTTCTTAATGTCTTTTCTTTATTAATTTTATTATGCGATGATTTGAAAATATGTTAAATACGAATTACTCGAACTTAGCTAACATTTCTACTGGCATATGATGGTAGTTCCCTTGAAGATTTGCGTTTCCTTACGCACCATGTTATGAGGAATATTATAATAGCTATCAGAGCTATGATTAGAAGAACACCGAGAACAATGGCTGCTATTCCAGCGTCTGTGATGTAATCTGAAAGAAATTTAGAACTTTAATTAGCTATTAGTATGGCGACTACAGCCCGTACATCTATCTTAAATAACTAAGAGATGCACAGAAAGCGAATATTTACCCTTATGTGTTCTCCATCCTTATATGAAAGGGGTGGGAAAGGAAAAAGAATTAAAATTAGACATAGGTGCATTAACTAATTTTAATCGACGGAGGAGGGAAGGCACAGAAAGGGAATATTTCCGCTTATGAGTTACTTCCTCCGTCCTTATAACATAAAGGGTGGGAAGGGAGATAGGACTAAAATTAGGTCTCCAGAATTCACAGTCATTGTAAGTGGAATTGCTTCCACTTGATGCGAATTTCTATTAACAAAGGATACCTTCTATGGATATATTAGGTATGTTCTTACTGGATATATCCATTGTATAGCTGTTTGTGTTGCCGTAGATATCCACAGCGTTGACAACAACTCTTGTGCTGCAACATGTTGATCTGTACACGGTGACAACTTCCTCTCTAGTGCCAGATATGAATGTTTTATCTTGTGCAGCCATTAGACCTAATGGTGTTGATGTGATACGGAGTAGGCCTGGAATACAGGATGTTGTATGTTATAGCTGTTAGTTGATTGATTTTTATGATATTGTGGATGGCTTCAAAGGTAGAGGTAGACCAAAGAATGAATGTATTGTTTGAAAGAGTATATGTGTAAGATGGAGGTGGATTCAGATATGATTGATAGAGTATGGAGTACATACTGTGCTGACCCTCCGTAGGGATAATGGCAGGTTGATGACTGAAATGTTACTAATATTATAAATGCGAATGTTTGTGTTGATGTATGTTTGTTAGAATATATCTCCGGAATGGCTGCATGGATCTCGATGAAATTTGGAGTGGACAGTGTGGGAAATTTAAAAAAAAAACCATGATTCTTTTTTCAATATTACACACAGACACTCTACTTTTATTAATTGTATAGATGTAAAAACTAAGTGTCGCCCACGACTCCAACTAAAAGCGGAATTAAAAATAAAACTTAATTAGTTGCCTATGTATTCTTTCAAACAATCATACATCCAAATATTCGCATTTATAATATAAGTAAGATAATTTTGATTGTTTCTAACAAGCGAAGTCACAAGTAAAAACTAGTATACAATTGTCGGCTCTGTTCTTACCTCCACTATCCCTCGCGTAGACTGTAGCAGACCAAGTATGTTCGGCGCAATCGTTGCCCATTCTTCCAATGCAATGACCTTGATAGCTATGTCTCACTTCAGGCGCGAATGTATCCACTTGACTCTCGTTTGGATTAACGACGTAGACGTATGCAGATATTGATATTTGATCCAAGCCTGGTGGGTAATTGAATGAACTTTGAATGTGGGTAGTTTTAAAGTATAATAATATAACTCAAAAACTACTGCATACTTTTTAAGTTTTAAAAATGGAAGCAAATGACACGCAATACATTTTGAATAGAATTATGCAAATCAGATAACTAGGGGCGGAGTCCAGATTATAAAAAAAACAGACGAATTGACAATCTCCTTTTTGAAGTTGGTTAAAACATGGAGACTGTATTGGTTTAAGCATCTTTGTGCTAGTTTTCATTAGGTTCGTTAAAAATCAAGCCATTTATAATAACACAGAAGGGTAGTTTTAAAAATAAAATTAAGTTCTCCACAATGATGCTATTATTGATTAGTTTTCATCGATATAGTAAAGTTCTCAATGCCTAAACCCTTATAAATATGTAATTTGGTTGTAATTTTGCAAAAGAAAATGTAGGGTAGTTATCAATAATTACCATATGCTGTGAATGTGATGAAATCTCTGACTCCTGGCTGCGCTGCGGTCGAGATTAATAGGTTAACTATCACATTGAGGGTCTGACCTGATTGTATTGTTTGTCTGAAAGAAATAAAAAAAGATATAAGATGAGTATCTCTGTAGTGTCTAGAATCTGACCGTATCCTTTTGCAGGATAAGATTCAAATGAAATTTTGTTTCAAAATATATTCAGCCAGTACTTTTTATTTTTTAAGCACCAAATGTGTGTACTTACGATGAAGGTTCTATGCTTCTCAAGAATCTTAATTCTCCAGTCGCACCAAAGCTGAATCTCACGGCTTGTTCTCGATAGTTACTTACTTCGAAATGCAACTGTAAAGTTAAAGAATTAATCGTTATGCGTAGATGTATGAATGTGGAAGAAGACTGTGTCAGGAGGCCACCAAACGGAAGTATTCCTGTGCCTTTTTTGATAGTTTAGAATTCTTTTATTACTTTCTGAATTCGTTACAAACATATTATACAAAAATATTTTTTTTACGGTGAAGGAAAACATCGTGATGCTTGTGCATATATCGGCAAGGAAATTTAAAGATATGTGTGAAGTCAACCCGCAATGGGCCAAGTCATCCCTAAGGTAGGATTGGAGCCCCTCAGTAGGGATGTAAATCTTTTGTCTTTACAATATTAGTTAATATCAGAGGTCCACAAATTAGTAGTTACCCCCTGCTACTACGCCGGTTTCTACGTGGACCCCAGTGGGTCTTAGATGTTAAAAGATCATTTACCTGTAAACTATCACCCGGTGATCCGTAAAGTCTTGATCCCAGTCCTATAATGAGTGCTGTCACAAGAGTACCTTGTTGGACTACCTAGAATATAATGTATACTTTTAATTTTTGACTACCCTCATATACTAAGGTACCCGAAATATAAACGAGAAGCGTGATATCGCTCGAACCAATCGATTTAATTGAAATCTGATGGAAATAATCGACAGAAAACGAATCAGAAATCGATAATCTCTTTGTCTTCAATCACCATATAGAATACGATAATTTGTGTCTACCCACATTTATGAAATAGAAGACAATCTCTGTTTTACATAGGACAACTGATGAGGTTATTTACATTTTGTATGTTAATAAGTAGTAGCTATCGCAGATAATCTAGAAAGCATGGTATCTACGCGTTGCAAGTAGCTCCAGAATACTGCGGTATTTTTAAATTCTTACCCGAGATGTCCGACCATACGGTAATGCGTTTGTCTCATTCAAGCGCATTTTATGCATGTGTATATTTTCTTCTTCTACCCCCTCTAAGTCATTGTTGGAGTTTGGGAATATGACAGCAGATCTGCCGTTCCTTACTTCTATCTCATGGTCGATAGGTCCTGAGAATCTTATGAAAGGATCCCCTGGAAATCATACAGTATAGATAGAGCCATAGAACAATGTAAGTCTAGACTTGATGGTGTTTGTTTAAAAATACTTTCATGATAATGGACGATGATTAGAGAATGGTAGTACCAATAGCCCAATATTTAAAGTTGTTGATGTCTGACCGTGTAGTCTTGGGTTCGATTTCACTTGACTAATGTCAACCTTATCCTAGCATAATCTTTAAGCTTCAAACTTATACTTTTGTTAACTGAGGTTTGTTCTTACTTAAGGAAGTGGGACTGTGTTGCACTGAGGCCAAGTCTTAGGGCAGTGGGGGTGTGTTGACCGAAGTCTAGTCTTACTAAGGACAGTGAGGGGCAGTGTGTCTGTCTGTCTTACTTATGACAGTGTCCACTCGTGTTGCGATGACTAACCTTGTATATTTCTTCCTAATATTTTCGCGTACACTCTTGATACTTTTAGTTTAGGTAATGGAACCGCTTCTTCAATTTCAGTCACGAGGTTTATGTGAGCCGGATTGGTATTAGATGACGCAGGGTAGCTGTAGAATTAAAGAAAAATGTTATTAGTACCATAGATGTAGTATAGTTTTTTGTAGTATAAGGTGGCAAATGGGGAAGAGGCCACCGGATTTTACTAAGCTCTATAGCTTCTTCTAGTTGCTAGTTCTCTAAGTGGTAGCCCATAGACCATAGACATTTGCAAGATGCAAAAAGTTTGCATATGTTTTGTCTACTTTATTGGATAGGATCAGTCCTTTCTCCCGCCAAATCCGAAGTGGATTCCCATCTTTTCTTAATGTTAAAAGTTGCTGTCTGTCTATGCAGAGCAATTGAGGTTGGTTAATATAAAGATTTGTCCTTTTTTTAATTTAAAGTTGACTTACCTGAAAGGTAATTTAGCCAATTCGGTACCATATTCGTCAACTAATGATGACTCTCGGACGCTCGCTACTGGACCTATGACCCGGAGGTTCAGCGAATCTGGATATATAAAGAATGTAATGTTAAAATATCTTTTAAATAATCGTAATTAATATCGTGTTGTTATCGTCATATGTTGGGTGAAGGAGTCCCTTTTGAAATTGAATAGCAAATATAATTTGAATAATGTTTGCCTTACAGTTGAAGTAGGCGTTTATATTACTCATTATTTCAAACTCAAGGTGATAGTAATTATTGTTATTAAATCAAAGGAACTAAAGACAATTTCTTTGGTATTTTAAACAATTATTAAATTTAACTTTATAACTATTTTTCTATAATAATTTATTTACGTTATACTAACATGATCTAGTACCTGTCGCATGCGACTGTCCGAACGGAATTGTTAAAATTTAATTAGTAGTCTATGTCTATATGTATTCTTCCAGACTATGTTCTACATCTATGACCAATTTCATCGACATCCATGAAGACGAACATTCGCATTTATATTAGTAAGATTTAAAGCAGTTTCCTTGCTTAAAGTTTTTTTCGCTGAGCGATAAAAAAATACAGTATATACAGGGTGTCCCAAAAGGTTAAGTACATAGGAAGGGGGATGATAGGGGTGGTCACAGGGGTCACCAGAAAAATTAAATAAAAATTCCCCTCTGGATATTAAAAAAAATAAATGGCATTTTTTTAAAACTTAAAAATTTTTCACTTTCTGGGGCAATTTTAATTTTCTTTAAAATCTTTGTTAGTTGTATTGTTTTTTTTATTTCATATTGATAAAGGGTTATTGACGATAACATAATAGCTTTTTTTTAAATATAGCAATATTTGTAGGTCATCGGTTACAAAATTGCCCCAGAAGGTGTAAAATTTTTAACTTTTTAAAAAATGCCATTTACTTTTTTTAATACCCAGAGGGGAATTTTTATTTAATTTTTCTGGTGACCCTTGTGACCACCCATATCATACCCCTTCCTATGTACGTAACCTTTTGGGACACCCTGTAGGTCATAATATAATGTTATTATTTGTTATACTAATTATCAAGTATTCACAATCAACAAGGAAGTTTCATGTTTGCCGGGTTACGCGGGTTATCGGTGACGTGCTAGATAACACTGCACTACGACATAATGTATGAATGGACTATCTTACTAATATTATTTTAACAGTGGTAGAGCCCGCTTTAACATCTTCGCACGAATCGGCCCGGATCGCCCGGTGAAATACCACGACCACACAGAAGACAGGCGTGAAGTGGAAGTAATTCCGTGTTTCGTCTGATGAGTGTGCGTCCCGGAGGCCTAATTTAGTCTTTTTTCCCTTCCCACACTTTTTCTTATAAGGAAAAGATGGGAAGTGGAAGTGGACTTTACGGATGAGAGGATGCATGGGAAGAGAAAATATTTTCTTTCTGTGCATCCTCTCCTCCGTCGATTAAAGGTAAGGCAACGCATATGCAATTGCGTATGTCTATGGGCAACGGTCACATCGCTATTTCAGCGATTTCAAGTGGTCGCTCGCTCGTTTGCCACCTTATGATATAAAAAAATTTATAAATGCGAATGTTTGGATGTTTGTTAGAAGGTATCTACAGAACGGCTGTATGGATCTCGATGTAATTACTCATAGATGTAGAGCATAGTCTGGAAGAGTAGTTTTACTAATATTATAAATCCGAATGTTTGGATGTTTGTTAGAAGGTATCTTCAGAACGACTGTATGGATCTCGATGAAATTACTCATAGATGTAGAACATAGTCTGGAAGAAAACGTAGCCTACTAATTAGGTTTTCTTAACTCCGCGCAGACGGAGTCGCGGGCGACAACTAGTTGGAAAATAGATATCGCCTTTATGTCCATGTATTATTAGATTCAAACTATATGTGTGTTCATTACGCGGGGAGTTGATGCTCTGCGGAGCGTTTGGTGTCATATTGCGAGCTGTCATAAATTTTGAATGCCGTTATACATTGGTTACGCCTTGATATTTTAGTAGTGAAATAATTCGAACAAATCGTTTTGAAAATTATGAACTTGGTACATTGTTACTGGACAATGTTTTTTTTTAAATTCAATGCTAACGGATGTGTCCAATTTTCTTTATTGTAGTAAATTGTTGCATAATAAAGTAAAATTGATTCAGCCATTACGAATAAATGCGTTTGAAATTGTAATATTAATCTAATCATCGGCCACTGTTTCATGTCTAACATTTATTAAGTAAACATGATAACGTAATTAAGGAAATTAGTTCGCTATTTGAATCTTCTCGCGTCAGTTGTTTCGCGCGTAAAGACGCCATCTTGTTTATTTTCGTCAGTAAATTTTGGCGGGTAATGTGTGATTATAAAAGTCAAAAGTGCTTTAAAAATTTGTATTCGAAATTCAAATTTAAAAAGTTTGTTCCGTGGCTGAATATGCAAATGTTCTTTGCCTTTTTTTTGTATAGAAATGAGAGCGTTTATAATACGAAGTAGTAAAAACTCCACCGTGTAAACGATTATGTTTTTTGTTACAACGGGATTTCGTTGAATTAAGAATTAAGCGGTTTTTTTCTATGCTACAGCAATGTTTTAATTCGTTGTTTTATTAGACTTTTTATGTGTAGTTTTGTAACGGTTTTTTTTTAAACTGGAATGGTGTAAGATGATTATAAAATGTGTTGGTTGCACACTAAATATAATTAAAAAAAATCGTAGCACTGGCCAGTTGAGTAATCGATTTTTTTTTAAATGAACACAACACAAATGTCAGTCGCTATGTCGTCAATAAAAAAAATATGCAAAACACTATACCCTTTCATTATTCAATATCCGTGACATTATGTAAGGTTAAACGATCGCGTAATATTTTTAAAATATTACTCTAAATATTAGTAAATACTATTTTGTTGTGGTTAGAAAGTATAAATGCCGGTTTGGGAGTGCAATATGACGACCTTGATCTACAAAACGCGGCCATTTTGAAAAGATGGCCGACCTGTCAGCGCGACTTTTCGAGGTTATTATTTTTCTTATTGATTTTTATTGGTTCAAGGGCTGTCATTGTGTTCTATAAATGTTTTGATCTTGGGGTTTTGACAAAGTGCATTCGCTTCGAAATGATTATATATCGAATTTTTAATATGTAAGTAACTGAGGCGCGACAATCACGCGACTTATCCAAAGTTTTAGTTTTATACATTTTGTAAGTAAATTATGGAATCGTTTTCGAATGCATCTTGTCTAATTCTTTAGTTTTGTTTTTAATACTGTTGATTGGAGTCCCTGATTCAATTCCCTAGGGATTAAAGTTTTATTTTTATTAGTACAGTAAAACAATTGCTTTTTTTAAATATTAATGCAATAGAGAAATGATTTTCTTTGTCTATGAGTCTATGGTAGTATTGTTTTTTTTTTAATAAAACCGATTGTGACAGCCCTGAATCGTAGCATGTTTTTGTCTATGTTATTTGTCTATGCTTTAAACTAAAAATGGTTTTGTAAGTTTGATATTGATATAGCGCAATCAGTTGATTGAATATTTTTTTGTTTTGTTTTTTTTTTTAAAACCGGATATGTTTTTTTTTAACGCAAAAAGGTAAGTTTGAATTAATTTAGATCTATGATTGGATTGTTATGGTTTGATACTTGTTTTTGTTTGTACATAGCGTTATAAATCATTAGATTATGTGTCGAATTAATCTTGAATATCGTATTACTTTTTGCTAACCGTACATAAGTTTAATAGCAAAGTCATCGACATTTATGCCACCGTCGTATTATTTTCTTGGGCGTTTAACGATATATCTAAATATGACCTGACGTCCGGATTTATATGTGTTTCTCATCTTTTTTATATTACGATTGAATTTCGAAATAAAGTATATAAAGATAAATTAAATTAAATACACGGTGTTAAGATACTAGCTGTCGCCTGCGACTCCATTGGTCGCAGCATAATGTTATATAGCCTAAAGCCTTCCTCTATAAATGGACTATCCAACATAAAAAGAATTTTTCAAATCGGACCAGTAGTTCCTTAGATTAGCGCGTTTAAACAAACAAACTCTTCCGTTTTATAATATTAGTATAGATTTTTCAGTTTTAGAGTTTTTTGTGACAATTATGAGACTAGTTTTTACTCGCCTCTTCATCTCAGAATTAAAAAAAGATGAAAAGTACATAGTGTTGTATTGTTCTGGAGCATTCTTCTAGCAATCCATACGTTTAAACATTCGCATTTATAATATTAGTACCGAATCGTTAAGAAGCCAGAAAAATGTATAAGAATTTTGAAAGCACTTCTATATAAGTAACTTATATTTATTGCAACTTGACAATCAATTGTTTTATATATATACTAGCGGACCCGACAGACGTTGTCCTGTCTACACGTCTTTAATTCGAATATTATTTAAAATTTGACACTGCGATGGTAGCGCCGTCTGTCGGATCCAATGTAAAACATTCCAAAATCAACAACTACTGATAAATTAAAAGTTAATTAAAAAAACATTGTCCAGCAGACAAAATTGTGAATCTAAACCATTCCCAGATCCCCTTGAACACACACAAAAAATTTCATCAAAATCACTCCAGTCGTTTGAGATAAGTTCAGTCTTTTTGTTTAATATAATTGTGAAATGGTTAATAACGTTTGTATTTGTTAATTTGCTGATCTTATATATTAATAAGCGACCAGTAACTACACCTAAACCCTGTGGGTTTTTAGTACTGATGTCTAATCGATGTTTAATTTGTTATGTAAAGGTTTTGTAGAATAAAAAAAATACAAAAAGTAATAAGTAAAGTAAGATTTTACTGGAAATGTTTTGGAATTGATTTATTTTAGTTAAATGTTCATTTTGTCTATGGTTAAGGAATTGGATTGTTTAAAATACGTCATTTTTGAACTATTTTGTTGTTTCCTTCCTTATTGGATTTCACGTCGACGTGATAGACATTCTTGTCACGTTTGTGACGTGTTGTTCCTTTGTTTATATGATACTTTGTATTCAGAAATAGCATCTATGTGGTTTTATTTAATATAATTATATGTATTTTTAATGTGTCAGGTTAAAACTATTAATTACTCTATGTCTTCTTCCAGACTTTGTTTTATATCTATGCCAAATTTCATCAAGATCCATGCAGCCGTTCTGGAGATACGTTCCAACAAACATCCATCTATCGTAAACATTTGCATTTATAATATTAGTAAGATTATTTTCTTTGTCACATTTTTCATAATTTAAACTTGATTTCATGCGAATTTAAACCAATTTATTTGGATATTTTTTTTAATACATGAAAAAACTTTCCATTTTCTTTAATGTCCGATTTGATTTATTACATGTAACATGTCATATTTATATGGGATATGAAATCATACATTGCCTACGGGTTTTAAGTGTGTTGAACTCGAGATTTTTTTACAGTACATTTCCATTGACGAAATTAATTTTTAGAAATATATTCGTCTCTTACATATTTAATGAATTGACTTGTGTCGATACATGTTTTTAGTGGAAACTTATCCGTTTACAGTTGTATGTTTGGTTATATTAAATAGCTTAATTATTATACAATCACTAAAATACTCCGCCGGAATTAAACTTGATTAGTTGTCTATGTGTTCTTCCAGACTATGTTCTACATCTATGATAAATTACAGCGCGATCTATGCAGTCGTACTGGAGATATCTTCTGACAAATCTATACGAACATTCGCATTTATAATATTAGTAAGAAGTAAGATTAAATTAAAATGTCCGTCTGTTTACAAGTGCGTGTTTGTTTTGGGTAATTTAAACAATGGTTCGTTCGATTTTGACGGGACTTTGAGTTAACATGATGGACGTGGACAAATAAAGTTATTTTATTTTTATTTTAGCGCTGAAGTCGCGGGCAACAGCTAGTCTATGATAAACTTGTATTATCAGATAATAATGCTATCAAATATCTATATTCCTATCTTTAAAGGAAATAAACAAAGTTCATTTGTTTTCTTCCGTAAGGAATACGTTAATCACGCGAGGATCGAAAGAGGTGATGTTCCGAATGAAATCAAGATATTGCAAAGAAATGGGGTTTAAATATAATATCGCATGTAATTTCTTATATCTTATCTTATAATAAATCTTATGTCTTAATCTTATATATAAAATTCTCTTGTCACAATTTTCGTTCCCATACTCCTCCGAAACGGCTCGACCGATTCTCATGAAATTATGTGAGCATATTGAGTAGGTCTGAGAATCGGCCAACATCTATTTTTAATCCCGCGCGGACGAAGTCGCGGGCGACAGCTAGTGTTTATATATAAAAAAGAGAGTCGTGTTAGTTACACTATTTATAACTCAAGAACGGCTTTACCGATATGCCTGAAAATTGGTGAGGAGGTAGCTTAGAGCCAGGAGACGGACATAGGATACTATTATTCATTTTTTTTCGAATTTTTATGCCTTGAAGAGTTGCTTTTTATTTAACGTACTAATATTATAAATGCGAATGTTTAGATGGATGGGTGGGCTACACTAATTAAGTTCTTTTTATATTATATATCCACGCGGACAGAGTCGCGGGCGACAGCTAGTAATGTTATAAATGCGAATGTCTGGATGGGTTGATTGTTAGAAGGTATCTCCAGAACGGCTGCATGGATCTCGCTGAAATTTGGCACATATTCTTCCAGACTGTGTCCAACATCTAAAACAAATTTTATCGATGTCCTTGCAATTGGAGATACCTACTAACAAACATCCATCCAAAAATTTCCATTTATATTATTAGTAAGCTTATTCTTACCTTCGTCAACCTCAGCTCTGAAATGTACTCTGGTTCTTGCGAAGACGCTCAGTCTGTAATCGCAGCTGTCGCAGCGCACGCTCAGATGCCACACGCCGACCAAATCGTTAGATACGTCCGCCATGGTTGGCGTCACGGGCACGACTGACAATCTATAGTCAAATGACATATTTTACTCATTATTGTTTAATGATGATGGCTTGTAGGATTTGCATCTTGTTGATTCCTAATATTTTAAATTATTCGCTGTTTAATATTTGAATGAAAGATTGTATGTCATATTTACATATATTTAGTTGTTTTTACTGTATAGAGAAAACATTTACGAGAGAATGACGTGCTTTCGGTACAAAGTCCAGTGTCAGAATGAATAGTGAGGGGACATAAACGTTGACATTTTATTAAGGCTAGTGTTGAGTCAATACACTGGCTCATTTTCGGATTTTCTTCCTAACAGTACTTGTAAACCCCTTTATTTCCCTACGTGGTACACGTCTGCTTTGACTCCAGGTGATCCACATTGGAATTGATGTAAATAATTCAGTTGGGGTTATTATATACCAAGATATATGTTAATTAGACTTACACATCTATTTGTGGTGCACCAGGGAATGCCAGGTAGACATCCCTTGGTACTAATCCATCAGTCCTGGATGATGATGAGAACTGCTTCACTGATGTCTCATTGAACAGGTCCACTTGTGGTGCTGGAATGAGGTCACGTTTATAAATAACTGGCGAGTAAGACTAAGAGTAGCCTATGTATTCTGCCATACTATGTTCTATATCTATGCTAAATATCAGAGGGTTCCATGAAGCCTTTCTGGAGATACCTTTTAACACGTTGACGGACAGTAGGAACAAGCGAAGTTCGAAAATTGACACTATATGTTTTTGTGATTTTTAGAATGTTAGAAGTATAGTTTTACTCTTTCTGCTTAAATAAACTTAATTTTGATTAATTTAGTACCTTTAATTAGGTTGCGGCTATAACCGTCATGGCGCCAGCGGACTCTATACACTAAGTGATAGGACGATATATAACAGGTGAAATATGAACTTCAACCTAAAAAGATGTTTTCAAAACACGACACTATGCTTCTATGTATACGCCAGTAAGTGCACATTTGTGCTGCTATAGCCGTAGTGTCTAAAAACGACCGTTTCGTTTTGGACGGCTATAGCAGTCATGCCACATTGTGAACTTCGCTTTGACGGCTATAGCCGCAATTGTCCGTCAACGTGTTAACATACATTCTTCGAAAAATTCACATTTATATTAGTCAGATATAACATGCGGTGATGGAATACTACAGAAAGGAATATATTGTGTGAAAGAGGATATACGTAAGAAGAGTGTGAGTTCAAATGATTGACAGATAAATATGGGAGAGTTTTCTGTTGTCCTTACGTAGACAATAAGTGCAGTACGATTACAAGATCTTGCTGCTTGATCTTGAAATGTTCTCGAATTGTTGCATACTCTAATTGTAAAGAGCGTCGGTGGCTCAGGGGTCACGCACTTGACTTGCAATCTGCAGGACCTAGGTTCGAAACCCGCCATGTACCAATATATTTTTCGATTTCCGATTTACATATGTACATTTATCCGACGTTCTTACGGTGAAGGAAAACATCGTGATGCAACCTGCACATATCTGAGAAGAAATTTAAAGATATGTGTGAAGTCAACCAACCCGCACTTGGCCAGTATGGTAGACTATGGCCTAATCACCCTTAACTTAGGGTAGGCTCCGAGCCCCTCGTACGACGTATAGTGAGCTGATGATGATGAATTGTAAATTTATTATAATTTTCGAATCCAAATGATCGAATTTGGAATCTTTTGGTGTACGTTCAGATAATATTGACAGTGACCTTGCTTGTTCATTCGACACGCATTGCTTGGACAAACATACTTTGTACATAACAATGCGACGTCTTAGTAATGTGACAAACATATTTTGCATGCATAAATATGCTTCAACTACCACATTATAAAATACATCGCCAAGACAAAAATAGAGTTGTGACTCTGTTGGATGCGTTGAAGCTAAACAAGGCTTTCCTGGTACATCTTTTTAAGGACGTCGTTGGTTTTTGTCTTAAGCTACATGTCCTCGTAGTTAGGAATTGAGCCTCCCCTAAAACCTTGATTAAGCTTGATTCATACATTGTTGTCCTTCATATTAAGAACTTGGGATAAAATAATGGCAAGCCAGGATCAAACCCAGTACAGTAAGTTAAGCGGGTCTTTTGCTTAGCTAGTTTACTTCTACCTACCCTCATTAGGTGGAAAGAGTGCTGCATGATCCACGTCCCCTTCTATCAGGATTCTAAGTGCGGCAACTCCTGCTTCCACAGGTATGCCAAGAGATATAGCCTCACCTCCTCCCCTCCATATTAACAGCGTCTGGAAGTAGATATATTATTTATAATGGATATGTGGCGTACGTTCATGGTTAAAATTGTGTATAGGAGTTTTGTAATACTTAAAGACACGGCAAATTATATAATGGAATTATTCACGGATTGACCTGTTATGTTTCGGAAACATTGTCATCAGTTTCCGCCAGTCTGAGCCCTTACAAGCCACTGGCTTGTTAGGGGTATTATCGCGATTAGTTCTGTCAGAAATAATCTATTTAGGCATGGAAGATGAAATAAACAATTCACAAGACAGCTACAGTATGGCGGGAGAACTTTGTCACATTTACAGAGAGGCTAGTGAGTTATGACAATTTAGTTTCAATTATGGCATGGTAAGATATATTGTGATTTAAGGTCAGATTAATTGGTTTGGATAGAAGAATGAGTTTCCACTAAATATTTAACTTCGTAACTCACATCAAAACTGTCCTCTTCGATTTGACGTAACCTTGCTCGTCTCGGTCCCAACTGTGCCTCGGCTAGAGGCTCCCACTGCTGCAGATCAGCTACTGGTGGTATGCCATTCTCCAACTCCTGGAACGTACATCAGATATAGTACTGTCAAAACTCATAGCATTGTTTTTTAATTGGATCAAGTTGCCAAAGTCATTGGTTACGTCCAACGACGTAAGTCTTGAAGAGTAGAGTGATTTAGGTGTTCAAGCGATGGAGTAATCTTACTAATATAAATGCCAATGTTTGTATGGATGAATGGTTGTTGGATGGTATATAGAACGACTTAACGGATCTCAATGGGAGTCATATAGAACATAGACTGGAAGAACACATAGGTTACTAATTAACGCGACGGATTTGAGCGTGACAGCTACTCATTATTAATTGTTTTTTTCACGGAGATTGAGAATTTTTATAGAACATGCAATTGGCCCCCAGCTTTAGCTAAAATAGCGATGATAGATTACCACAAAAAGTCAAAGGATATTTTGTCCACTTAAAACGGACAGAGTAAGGGATGTATGGAAACAGAATATTCCCCCTTCCGAGATATGTTACTTACCTTAGCTTGTAAAGAATAAGGTAAGACATCTCCTTCTGTGTGTGTGGAGACATTTCTCAGTTCAACAAGACTTAACTCAGATTCAATGGAAGGGTAATTTGGGTCGGTCCAAATTGTGTACACCTGTAAGGAAAAATATATTAAAAAAATCCATTCTTGTACCCTCGAAATTGTATAGCAGTTCTTGGTAACATTGGGTCCGGATTTGTGACTGAACGTTTTTTAAATTGGGTTTTATTAAATCATATGAAAATAAACCTTTTATTTAATTTAAAAATATGAATTAAACCAATCTCGAAATATGACCCTTAGGGCTGGTAGAGGTCCAAGTATTCCTCTAAAGGTTGTCTTAATGGACTAACCCAGAAAATATTTGTTTATGTCTACGTTCTATTGAAAATTTCCTTTAATTTGCTTTAAAGAGGTTTTATAGACCATAGGTTTGTACAGATTTTTCTTAATGTATCTAGTCACTTATTGTAGTCAAGATTTTTTCAATATCTGTGTGTCCTAGTTACCTTCAGTCTCTTCTCCACCAGTGCTCTCAATGCTAAAGGAAGTTTCAATGGATCCCCCACTTCTTTGTCGGTGATGAGGAAGAGTGCACTGTCATATGGTACCAGTTTGGCTGCGGATGCCAGCGCGCGTAATGTACCATCACTGGCTGACTCAGATCGTACGCCCTGTTGATAGAAATAAATATTCGGTCATAAAAATCGAAACAATTTTTTAAATAAGGGATAGATGCCGAGGAAACAACGAAGTTATCGAAGTCTCAGGGGTTAAGCACTTGACTTGTAATCTACAGGTCCGAAGTCCGAATCCTGTTGTTTATCAATGTGTTTTTCAAACTTCGATTTACATATGTACATTTATCCGACGTTCTTATGGTGAATGAAAACGCACATATCTGAGAAAGATATGGGTGAAGTCAACCCGCACTGGACCAGCATTCACTATCACATAGTCTCACTTAGGGTAGGCTCTGAGACCCTCAGTGGGGATGTATAGTGAGCTGATGACTGTAGAATACGATTAGTTTGATCGCCATTCTAAGATTTTTCCTATAAGTAATTTATACACGAAGATATTGTTCTATTGACTTCAAGGTCAAACGTCTCTTCCGTGCAACTGTTAAGCCATAACTAATTTAGCGTTTTTTTTTTAATTTGTCACATACATATGTTTTGTATGTCTGATTGTCTTGTATATATTGTCTTGTTTATCTGTATTATTAATTGTTTAAGGTCGATCACCTGATTATATAGGTATATTGTTAGTTTTTATTGTTTAGGAAGTATATGGATGTCGTCAGATCATCTCCATCCTTCTAAGTAAGATTAGGTCTTAAGCACGCCTAAGTATCAAGTGATTTTCTTGACAGATATGTGCACGTATGTTTTCCATCACCGTAAGAATGTCCGATGCATATAAAATTTGAAGAAAAACACATCGCAAAAGTCGACTTCAACTTTTTTTAAACAATTATATACTTAATTTTAAACACTGAAAAGACAATTAATAAAATTAGAAAGTGAATATATCTATGCTTTGGGTGCAAAATAAGGCCAGGGGTGTACTCTTACAAGTGCCCGTTTATACCAGTGGTTCCCAAACTTATTTTGTCTACTGCCCACTTTGAGAATAAATATTTTTTTAGCGCCCCCATATTTTCACATATTTAAAAACCACTATAACTTCAAACTAAATTAATTAATTATTGTGACCTACATATGTATATTAGCGGAGAATTCTAAACGAAACTTTTACTATTATAACCCGCAACTTGAGACCTGCAGCGCCCACAAGGGGGCGTAAAGAGTTACATCTAGTAGATGTAACCTTTTTCGTGAGATTTAAGCTAAGATAAAATTTGATATACCTGATATTTAACGATGAGTTTGGAGATGGCATCGCCGACTGTTTTGTCGTCTGTTGTCCCGCTTGCCTGCAGATTGTGGCGGGATCTCCAGCTGATACCTAGGGAACATTGTTCAATAAAATATAGTTAACTGTCGTCCGCAACTTTCGTAAGGATTGAAAATAAAAATTAGTATCCTATGTGTTCTTCCAGACTATGTTCTAATTATGCCAAATTATATAAAGTTCCATTGAGCCATTTCGGACATACCTTTGTAGTATTTATAATATTAGTAAGATTATTTTCTACAACTCTCTGTATTTTAATAGGTCAAGGACGGTTTAGTCATGTATTGGGACAACCCAATATATTCTCCGTTTAAAATATGTTCTTGTCTCTGTCTTGTCAAAGATAATGACAGGGATGACGATATGTTTTATACATTGATTTTTATCTCGGAAATCAACTGTATATGAAACACTGATAATGATTGAATGCCACAGCATTAGGGAACATACCCATACTACGTGACCTATTTTTTTAGTTTTTTCGACCCCTCCCTCCCCTCGGTGACCACTCGTAGATGGCAAGACCACCCCGTTTAGTTTTTACGTAGTAATTCATAATTATGATTTTTAAACATATCACAGGTAAACATTGAAAAAGAAATATTTTGGCTCATACTTCTTTATAGCATAAGACTGCATGCATTGTTATTATTACTGACTATTACTGACCATAGTATTTTAAAGACTCCGCTCCCCCCCTAAACGGGTCGCGTAGTATGGGCACGTTACCTTATGATTAATTGAGGAAATAACAACAGAAATATGAAAACAATGTTGCTAGTATTTAAATTATAAATACCACCTATTGATTATTTTAATAAATTAAGACGTAATGAGTTGAGACATGACTATGTGTTTTTAGAGTTCATAAATTACGTGATGTGTATTTTAAAATTTTCTGCCCCTTCCTCCCACCCTGGTGAGATGTCGTGAGATTTTATTTAACCCCCTTCCCCATCCCTCAATCTCACGTGATATTTTTCAAAATGTAAGTTTCTTACGTAAACGCGTTGGAGTGTTATAGTGAAAAAAAAAGATTGCTTCGTGCTTTTGTTTTTTTTTGTTTCAATCAAAAAAAAAATTTGCGCGATATTTGACCCACCACCCTCTCTCTCCAACGTAAGATTAGATGAGATTTGACGCGATCTCCTCTTCTCAAACACCTTACGTAATTCATGGACCCCCTTATAGGATTATTTTGTTGTCCGACTATCTGTCTGCCTAGACCCATTTTTTAATTGTCTTTTTGTTTAATACGACTGCATGTATTGCTTCTAATATTATAAATTATTGTTTCAGGTAAGAAATACGACTATATGGGCCCAGTTTGAGTAAGTTTATTTTTTGTCTAGGTAATTTTAAATTCCAGCTATGGCTATTTATTATAGCTAAATATTTGTAAAATGTAAGTTTTGGTATTAACAAGTTTAAGTGAAAATTGACTAGCTGTCAACCGCGATTCCGTCAGCGCAGGGTTAAAAAAACTCAATAAGTAGCCTATGTGTTCTTCTAGAGCAGTGGTTCCTAATTATTTTTTGCCACGTACCACTTCAAAAAGATCTTAAAATTTGTAACAATCACACTAATATTATAAATGCGAGTGTGTATGTTTGTTACTTCTTCACGCTAAAATGTCTGGATCAACCCATGCAAATTCACGTTCACCTGGGGGTACGCGTACGTTTTATAATTTCTGTGTTATCCATGCAGCCGTTCTAGAGATACCTTCTATGCAACATCCAAAACATTTATAATATTAGTAAGAAGTAAGATAGTATTATAAGATGATACTGTACGATTGAAATACAAATTAAAATTATTTGCCTTTTGGAAAATTACCTTTCTCAAGTTAATGTTACTTTGATGCAGGATTTTAACGAGTTTACGGTAAATAAGGAATTTGTGAAGGGAATTATTTTTTTTTGTTATTGCATCATTTTACATTACAACGGGTATTTATATATCCGATATTTTGGTACCGTTATTTTGAAGTCAAATGACCCACGAAGAAAGTATCTGTTTGAGATATGACTCTTTTCATTATAACAAGATGTAACTCTTTTCGTCGAATACGTCAATGTGTATTTAAATTACGCGATTTAATTACAAAAAATATAATTAGTCATAGTTTACTGCTTACTTATAAAGTTGAAAAAAATATATAGTTGGTTTTACTATTTCAATAATATTAAGAGGAAATTATATGTTTCTTTGCTTTGAGTTATCCAAACTGATTCATACATTTTGATAATTTTTCCTCACTTTCTGAAGTCTAGTTTGACTGAATACACCAAAAAACCCGTCTGAGTGTACTCCATGATGTGCAAGGTAAACGAAAAATATTACTCTTCAGAGCCAGATGACTAAAAATTAGGTCAATCGTACACGAGGCAACGTATTGAACTCTGCGATTTTAGTCTCTAACTTATTCTATACAATGTCATAGAGCAGTGGTTCCCGAACTTATTTTGTCTACTGCCCACTTTGAGAATAAATATTTTTTTTAGCGCCCCCATATTTTCATATATTTAAAAACCACTATAACTTCAAATTATATTAATTATTGTGACCTATATATGTATATTAACGGAGAATTCCAAACGAAACGTTTTACTATAACCCGCAACTTGAGACCTGCAGCGCTTACAAGGGGGCGTTATCGCCCACTTTGGGAAACACTGTCATAGACCAAGCGCGCGAATTCTGTTTCTGTTGTTTTCTGTAATTACTAAAGACAGTCGCAATCTGTTGGTTAAATCATCAAGTCCAATTTTCAAGATGGCAGAGCACAGTTCACATGTCCATATGTCTCTACTGACAGAATAGACTCGTATTGACGATTCAACATTGTGTGTGTCGCGCGCAACGTGATTCTCGCGACGCATTTAATTTTGACGATTTACATTGCCTTGTGTATGAAGGGCCTTACTCTGTTTATAAAAGAATGCGAAGAGTCATGAGTTATTGTTTTTGTTGTTAGTTTGCGTGTAAATCAATTGTCCATGTCAATAGATCCGGTTAACAATGGTGTGACGTCACATGTAACTGTGACGTCATTGACAGCTAAACTGAATTATTATTGCATTAAAAAAGAAAATATTACGTCATATTAATTATGCATTGTAGTGACGTCATTACAATATCTCTATATTTAGCCATCTGATGAAAACAGTTACATCTTTGGAGATGTAACCCTTTTCGTCTCGTATATTAACTTTTGCATATATATCATAAGGTGGCAAACGAGCGAGCGGCCACCTGTAATCGCTGAAATAGCGAAGTGACTGTTGCCCATAGGCATACGCAATTGCATATGCGTTTCTTTTAATCGACGGAGGAGAGGATGCACAGAAAGAAAAAACATTTTACCTTTCCATGCATCCTTTCATCCGGAAAGTCCACTTCCATCCTTTCCTTATAAGAAAAAATGTGGGAAGAGAAAGAGGACTAAATTAGGCCACCGGGACGCACACTCATCAGACGAAACGCGGAATAGCTTCCACTTCACGCCTGTCTTCTGTGTGGTCGTGGTATTGCACCGGGCGAGCCGGGCCAATTCAATGTCAGCCAACCACTGTTATATTATTATAACTTTTGTATTTATAATATTAATTATTACCTTTTGAATCGAATCCGACTATAACAATATCTGTCATTTTCAATGACCCATCAGCTGTAAGATCCTTCCAGACATCCAGTGCTCGTTGTAATGCCCTAGGTCTTAAAGGTACTAGGACACCAGCGGGCGGTCGTAGCCATGTGTCTTCTAACCAGGATCTTAATGTTGAACTCTTGCTGGTGTGAACCGTGGATCGGGGTTTAGCGTCGTTACGTTTTTCGATTGGCTGTTTGGCTTCGGCTAGAAATAATAAAGTTATGAATATTAATATATCAAATTTCCATCGAGATCTATTCAGCCCTTCTGAAGATACCTTCAAACAAACATCCATCTATCGTTCTCATCATCAGCTCAATATTCGTCCCCAATGAGAGGATCGGAGCCTACCGTAAGTCACGGGTGACTAGGCCATAGTCAACCACGCTGGCCAAGTGCGTTGGTTGACTTCACACAAATCATTGACTTTCTCAGATATGTGAAGCATCACGATGTTTTCCTTTACCGTAAGAACGTCGGATAAATGTACATATGTAAATTTAAAATCGAAAAACACATTGGTACATGGCGGGAATCGAACCCAGGACCTGTAGATTGCAAGTCAAGTGCTTGACCCCTGAGCCACCGCGTAAGATTGAAAACTTTCCACTTTTTGAAGTCGACCAAAGAACTATACATACAATTGTCAGTCTTTGGTATTCTCTGTCCAGTGCTGCTGAGCTGGTTCTCATTACTGATTGTCTCGTCTGTAGCTTTTGTTGTCGCACTCACTGTAGTTTCTGTCTGGAAGAAGACAAATAGTTTAAAAACAAAGAAACTATGATGTGTTAGGAAGAAAATCCGACACTGCCGGTGTAGCGCAACACTAGCCTTACTATATATCAACGTTCATGTCTCCTGACTACATTTTACACTTGACTTTGTAACGAAGGATGCGTCAAAGGATTCTAATTAATAATGTCTGAAAGTTGAAATTCCCGAGTATAAGAATCACGTTAAGCAGTGTCAAGGACGCTACTAATCCTTGTTCAAAGTACCTTATGATAGGGGTGCCTAGGCCAGTCAACTACGCTGGCTAAGTGCGGGTTGACTTCACACATATCTTTGAATTTCTTCTTAGATATGTGCAGCAGCGCGATGTTTTCCTTATGTAAATCGGAAATCGAAAAACAAATTAATACGTTGGGATTCGAACCCATGACCTGCAGATTACAAATCAAGTGCTTTAGCCCCTGAATAACCGACGCTCCCGTAGAGTTTACCACTTTAGGAATCGACGATTTATACTTTTAAAGTCAAATATTTCTAAAGACAGGGGTGAAGTGGAAGCAATTCCGCGTTTCGTCTGATGAGTGTGCGTCCCGGAGGCCTAATTTAGTTCTCTTTCCCTTCCTACCTTTTTTCTTATAAGGAAAGGATGTAAAGTAGAACTAGACTTTCCGGATGAGAGGATGCATGGAAAGGGAAAATATTTTCTTTCTGTGCATCCTCTCCTCCGTCGATTAATGGTAGGCAACACATATACAATTAGGTATGTCTATGGGTAACGGTCACTTCGCTATTTCACAGATTTCAAGTGGCCGCTCGCTCGTTTGCCATCTTATGATTTAAAAAAAAAAGTTGTATATGTTTGTACTTGTACTCGAAGTGCGCTATAAGACCCCCACGTTAGAGGTCACATAATTGTTATAAATGACAGTAAACAAGATCTGTTATGTAATATTAATAATTACAAAAGAATTTATCATTGGATTGTCGATAACCGTAACATATATCACAATAGTGCTTTTTTTAATATTAATTATCAATCTTATAATATTTATAACAATCCTTATTATAATATATTACTAATACTAGCTGTCGCCCTCGACTCCGTCCGCGCGGAATTAAAAACAAACTTAATAAGTAGCCTATGTGTTCAAACTATGTTCTACATCTATGCCAAATTTCATCAAGATCTATGCAGCCGTTCTGGAGATACTTTCTAACAAACATCCATCTAAACATTCGCATTTATAATATTACTAGCTATCGCCCGAGACTCCGTTTGTAGTCTATGTGTTTTTTCAGACTATTGTCTACATCTATGACAAATTTCAACAAGATCCATACAGCCGTTCTGGAGATACCTTCTAACAAACATCCATCTAAACATTCGCATTTATAATATTACTAGCTATCACCCGAGACTCCGTTTGTAGTCTTTGTGTTTTTTTCAGACTATGTTCTACATCTATGCCAAATTTCATCGACATACATGCAGCCGTTCCTGACAAACATCCATCCAAACTTTTGCATTTATATTACTAAGATATAAACAAATTAACTCACCACATCGTCTTCTCGTCCGCTGTGACTCGAAAACATGTCCTCGGGGACAATGTCTTTGAATTTATAAACATTATTGTATATTGTAGATAAAGAACTTGCCTCTGTCACTTCAGTACCGTCAGCATCTGTTAAACCATCTATTTTATCGTCAACATTTTTATTCGGCTGACTGTACTCGTAATCAACATTGGCGAATGTCTTAAGACCTAAAGCCTCTGGTATGTCTATAACAGCTGTTGTAGTTTCCACTGTTATATTTAATTCTGACGTGTCTATTTCGTATTCCGTTTCGATGTCTACTTTATTTGTGTTGTTCGTCTTTTCATTGGCTTCGGTTGCGTCTTCGTTTGTTATATATTTTTCTGCTTCGTTGTCTGTTTCTTGAGTCTTGTTGTAATGTTCGTTTGTGACGTCACCGTTTATATCGTAGTTCACTTCACTCTCACTTAGGGATACACTTAATATATTGTATATAACTAACACTATAGTTAATTTGTCTCTGAGTGATGCCATATTGTTACTTGCACATCTCTCTTGTTTGGTTTACCTGAAGAAAGAGACATTTTAATTAATATGATTTTATTAATCTAATGTACATATTTTAAACTTTATGACCCCGCGTGGGATTAAATATAGTAGCCTATGTGTTCTTCCAGACTATGTCCAACAGTGCCTTTCATCGGGATTCGTTAGCCGTTTTGGAGATACCTTTTAATCAATATACACCCATGTAAACTTTCGCATCTTACTAATATTATAAATGCGAATGTTTAAACCAGTCTTTCCCAAAGTGGGCGATAACGCCCCCTTGTGGGCGCTGCAGGTCTCAAGTTGCGGGTTACAGTAAAAGTTTCGTTTAAAATTCTCCGTTAATATACATATATAGGTCACAATAATCAATTTATTTAGTTTGAAGTTACAGTGGTTTTTAAATATGTGAAATATGGGGGCGCTACAAATAAAATATTCTCAAAGTGGGCAGCAGACAAAATAAGTTTGGGAACCACTGGTTTAGATGGATGTTTGTTTGAAGATATCTCCAGAACGGCTGCACGGATCTTGATGAAATTTGTCATAGATGTAGAACATAGTCTGGAAGAACACATAGACTATTCAGTGAGTGATTTTTTAATACCGCGCATACGGAGTCGCGGTCGACAGCTAGTTTATAATATTAGTAAGATTGTCGCACTAGAATAATTAAAAAATTATTTGAAAAGAAAAGGATAACGATATGTTTCTCGTTGCTTTCTTATTACGTAGTCGTTATTGAAATAAGAACAAATTATTTATAGCTTTGTACGAGAGCCATTTTTCCTTTGAACCTTGTATTTTTATATCTGTTATGGTATTGCATAGTGTTAAACCTTGGCCGTTTAGTTATGTTTATAACTTGGCATAGTACACGTGCATTCTTTGGGTCAAGTACTTTTTTTTATGTTTAAAAAGATATTTAATTTGTACTATACTTTGTATGGAATCACATCTTATTTCCCTTAGTATCGTCAAGCCAGTTAGTTGGAGATATCTCCACTAAGGTCCACTAAAGTAAAGAAACCTGATTAGTAGTCTATGTGTTCTTCCAAATGTTCTACATCTATGACAAATTTCGTCAAGATCTGTTGAGCTGTTCCGGTGATACATTCTAACATACATCCATCTGAACGTTCGCATCTTACTAATATTATAAATGCGAATGTTTGGATGGATGTTTGTTTGAAGATATCTTGAGAAAGGTTGAAGCAATCTGGATGAAATTTGGTATACATATGGAACATAGTCTTGAAGGACATATAGGCTACTTATTATGTCTTTTTTCCTGCGGTGAGTGCTTGCAAACTATTTATTCCTATAATGTCGATTGCATTAATACATGTTTTATCGACCTGTTTCAAAATGTATGCAAAAGGTATGAGATAAAATACGTTAATTCAGTGTCAAAAACAAAACATTGAAAGAAATGACGAGATTTACAAACTCGATTTCAACACGTGCTCAATTTAAGTACCAGCTTCGATTATTTTGGTGTTCAAAAATATTTTTTTAAATGATGGTTCCGTACAGACATCGGTGGATGAGAAAAGTATGGCTTATAACGTATTTCCGATAGAGTTTGGAAAGGTGCTGTTGTCCTGGTTAATCTCACTAATATAAATGCGAATGTTTATATGTATGTTAGAAGGTATCTCCAGAACGACTGTATGGATCTCGCTGAAATTTGTCATATATGTAGAACATAGTCTGGAAGAATACATAATCTTATTAAGTCTTACATATTACAGTATGGATGGAGTTGCGGACAAACATCCATCTAAACATTCGCATTTATAATAATAGTAAGATTAATTAATAGGGTTTTATAAACAGTACTAAAGGATCTCTGAACGCGTTGCCGCAAAACCGGGTCCCGAAATTCTGATATAACTATCAGTGAGTCATCGCCCGGTCCCTTGAATTCGGAATGATGCAACCAGACCTTTAGGCCCAGTAGCAGTGAACTCAAGAATGTCATAATATGAAAAAACTAACATACTCTAAAACAGAACAACTTAAAACACTATTTTTTACTTAATTAATTAAATAATCAGTCTGACTATACTTGAGTATACTTGTGGCACTCTCTGGAAGAATACGAGTCGAATGACACCTCACTTGACAAAATCTGTTCAGTTTTTTAGGATACAGGGTGTTTCAATAGCAGTATCTTGGTTGTGATATATGTTGGTCCCTACTAATGTAACTCATTATCACCTGTACGTTCCCATTAAGGGTCTCGGGGCATACCCTAAGTGAGACTATGTGATAGTGAATGCTGGTCCAGTGCAAGACTTCACACATTTAACTTTCTCAGATATGTGCAGCATCACGATGTTTTCCTTTACCGTAACAACATAGGATAAATGTACATATGTGAAAACACATTGCTACATGACGAGATTCGAACCCAGGACTTGCAGATTACAAGTCAACTGCTTTAACCTTTGAGCCATTGACGCTCTGGCATTAAACTTTCTTATTTTTTTTTTCGATTCGTACAGTAAATACAAACCTTGAACTACAATTTAAGTTACGATTTCCTCTAGGAAACCTCAGTTTCTTGTCATGCAATATTAAACCTTGGAATTGTTATTGCATTTGAAATATGGCCACAATTTTATTATAAACTAACTGTCGCCAGCCATTTTGTCCGCGCGGCATAAAAGTCAAGTATACCCGAGTTTTGACTTCACTTATATCATTGAATTTCTTCGCAGATATGTGCAGCATCATGTTTTCATTCACCGTAAGATTTTCGTATTGGATCAATATGTGATGTGATAAAAAAGGATAAAGTTAAAAATGTGTATATTATAGGAAGTTTGAAAGTAGCGCCAGTGATGGAGAAATTGAAGAGTAAAATATTAGCATGGTTTGGACATTGTTATGCGGAGGGATGATGATATAAGCCAAAAAGTAATGAGATTGAATGTGGATGGCTACAAAGGTGGAATGAGTATGTGAAAGAGGATATGCGTAGGAAGGAGGTAGACTCGGATATGACGGCTGATAGAGATGTATGGAGGAGTAATACATACTATGTTTTATCCTCAATAGGGATAAAGGCAGGTTGATAATGGTCACCCTTGATTTAGGGTAAGAGCCCCTCGGTGGGGACGTTTATTGAGCTGATGATGATGGTAATATTGGTCAGTTTTTATGACCAATTTGAACCTATAATTATAGTTAAGTGAATAAGTTAACCGTTCAACTAATAGTACAAGGTGTGTGTCGTAATAGCGAGGTTTTTTTTTTACAATTTTATGACTCAATTTGTATTCTAGACTAAACCAGTTTTGAAGTAAACTTATTAAGTAGCAAGTTGCATGTTAACTTTGTTTTTATCCAACTGATAGGGTAATGTTTATTGCGTATTTATAGTACGACGAACTTAACTGACCCGGTATGTGACAAGACACGATAAGACATAGTAGGTAAATATAGAAACTGTATTGTTTGGAAGAAAATCCGACTCTGTGCCGGTGTATCGGTGGCAAACGAGCTAGCAACCTGAAATCGCTGGAATAGCGAAGTGACCGTTGCCCATAGACATACGCAGTTGCATATGTGTTGCCTACCGACGTTCTTATGGTAAAGGAAAATATCGTGATGCAACTTGCACATATCTGCGAACAAATTTAAAGATATGTGTGAAGTCAACCAACCCGGCCATAGTCACCGGTACCTTGGGTAGGCTCCGAGCCCCTCAGTGGGGACGTGTGGTGAGCTGATGATGTGAAAAGTCTGTAGCAGTCTCTGATGCTTGAATC